CTGCCGGATCTTGAGGTCTTGGTAAATCTTTTATAAGAGGATTGGTATATCACGCATATTATCTGAATCGTCTTCTTCAAGTGATTCTCAACTCCTCCTTTGGGATATCAAGCTTGCCGCTCTTTGCTTCCACGAAGAGTTTTTAGTAAAAGCATCGCGGATTTATCAAGAAAGATCTCGAGACTGCCGCTTTTTCTCCCGCCTTCCTTTGATTTTCAGCTCTGGATATCACTAGAATCTTCCTTCTGATATCGTTCATGAGTTCTTGAAGGCCTGCCCTCTCATGATTTGGAGCTTCTTTTAAAAGCAGCGCTTCAGTGATCTTTGTTCTGACCGTAACTTTCCTTTCTGGATTTGTCAAATCGATTTGGTCGTTTTTCCTCTTTTTTTTCTTTCTATATATATATATATAGATATGGATAGTATTTTATATATATATATATATATATATGGATAGTATATATATATATATATATATAGATATGGATAGTATTTATATATATATATAGATATGGATAGTATTTTATATATATATATAGATATGGATAGTATTTTATATATATATATATATATATATAGTTATGGATAGTATTTTATATATATATATATATATATATATAGTTATGGATAGTATTTTATATGTAGATATATATATATATTATGGATAGTATTTTATATGTAGATATATATATATATAGTTATGGATAGTATTTTTATATGTAGATATATATATAGTTATGGATAGTATTTTATATGTAGATATATATATATAGTTATGGATAGTATTTTATATGTAGATATATATATATAATTATGGATAGTATTTTATATGTATATATATATATATAGTTATGGATAGTATTTTATATGTATATATATATATAGTTATGGATAGTATTTTATATGTAGATATATATATATAGTTATGGATAGTATTTTATATGTAGATATATATATATAGTTATGGATAGTATTTTATATGTAGATATATATATATAGTTATGGATAGTATTTTATATATGAATATATATATATAGTTATGGATAGTATTTTATATGTAGATATATATATAGTTATGGATAGTATTTTATATGTAGATATATATATATAGTTATGGATAGTATTTTATATGTAATATATATATATAGTTATGGATAGTATTTTATATGTAGATATATATATATATATGGATAGTATTTTATATATATATATATATATATATAGTTATGGATAGTTATTTTATATATATATATATATATAGTTATGGATAGTATTTTATATATATATATATATATATATAGTTATGGATAGTATTATATATATATATATATATATATAGTTATGGATAGTATTATATATATATATATATATATATAGTTATGGATATATATATATATAGTTATATATATATATATATATATATATAGTTATGGATAGTATTATATATATATATATAGTTATGGATAGTATTTTATATATATATATATATATAGTTATGGATAGTATTTTATATGTATATATATATATATAGTTATGGATATATATATATATTATGGATATATATATATATATATTATGGATAGTATTTTATATGTATATATATATATATAGTTATGGATAGTATTTTATATATATATATATATATATAGTTATGGATAGTATTTTATATATATATATATATATATAGTTATGGATAGTATTTTATATATATATATATATATATAGTTATGGATAGTATTTTATATGTATATATATATATATAGTTATGGATAGTATTTTATATATATATATATATATATATATTTTATGGATATTATTTTATATATATATATATATATATTGTTATGGATAGTATTTTATATATAGATATATATATATAGTTTTGGATATGTATTTTATATATATATATATATATATAGTTATGGATAGTATTTTATATATATATATATATATATATATATATATTATGGATAGTATATTATATATATATATATATATATATAGTTATGGATAGTATTTTATATGTATATATATATATATATTATGGATAGTATTATATATATATATATATATATAGTTATGGATAGTATTTATATATATATATATATATATATAGTTATGGATAGTATTATATATATATATATATATATATTATGGATAGTATTTTATATATATATATATATATATGGATAGTATTTTATATATATATATATATATATGGGATGATATTTATATATATATATATATATATTGTATAGTATATAGATATTTATATAAAAATATGTTTATATAATATATATAGTTATGGATAGTATTTTATATGTATATATATATATTATGGATAGTATTTTATATATATAGTTATAGATATATATATATATATTATGGATAGTATTTTATATATATATATATATATATATATATGGATATATATTTTATATATATATATATATATATATATATATATAGTTATGGATTTATTTTATATATATATATATATATATAGTTATGGATAGTATTTTATATATATATATATATATATATATTATGGATATATTTTTTATATATATATATATATAGTTATGGATAGTATTTTATATATATATATATATATATATATATATATGGATAGTATTTTATATATATATATATATGGATAGTATTTTATATATATATATATATATATATATATATAGATATAGATATGGATAGTATTTTATATATATATATATATAGATATGGATAGTATTTTATATATATATATATGGATAGTATTTTATATATATATATATATATATAGTTATGGATAGTATTTTATTATATATATATATATATATATATATATATATATATATATATATACATATATGGATATTTTTTATATATATATATATATATATATATATAGTTATGGATAGTATTTTATATATATATATATATATATAGTTATGGATAGTATTTATATATATATATATATATATATATATATGGATAGTATTTTATATATATATATATATATAGTTATGGATAGTATTTATATATATATATATATATAGTTATGGATAGTATTTTATATATATATATATATATAGTTATGGATAGTATTTTATATATATATATATATAGTTATGGATAGTATTTATATATATATATATATATATATAGTTATATATATATATATTTATATATATATATATATATATATATATAGATAGTATTTATATATATATATATATATATATAGTTATGGATAGTATTTTATATATATATATATATATATAGTTATGGATAGTATTATATATATATATATATATATATAGTTATGGATAGTATTATATATATATATATATATATATATAGTTATGGATAGTATTTTATATATATATATATATAGTTATGGATAGTATTTTATATCTATATATATATATATATATATATATATATATTTATGGATAGTATTTTATATATATGGAGGGAAAAATTAATTAACTCTGTTATATATGCTGCAGACAGGCTACTTTCATTGTGTGAAAGTGTCATTTTGTCAGTACCAAGATATTTGTTGTTTGTAGATATATTTATATCTTATCTCGGAATGTGACTCAGAGGTTCTTTGCATATCTCCTTTGAATATTTTTTTTTTTGTTGAAATACCTTTTTCAATACTCAAAATCCTATATTGTCCACCAAAATTTCCAATGCCCCGCCTCCGCCATTTTTTGTTCTGGTGCTCATCACCCATTCAACAGTTGAAATCCCCCCACTGGGAAAGCCTGGTGTAGACAGTAAAATTAAGTGCCATTCAACTGGAAGGTGTCAAGTTTTGATTACAAGTTTTTATATAGTCAGATTGCATAATAGAATGGTTAGTGATAATTTGTGTATTCTGATGTAGAGACAAGTAGAGGAATGGTAGGAAAGAGTTGGAATTCTTGCTGGCTGAAGGGAAAATTTGGTCCGTTAGTCTGTCATGAAAGAAAGATAGAAGTAGCAGCAAAGATGTCACAATTGTCACCTATCTATCCGCAGACTGTCCCAGGTGAATCCATAAATAAATAACCAAATATATTGAAACCACTTGTATTTTCCTTTCTTGCTATGGTGTTATTTCACCTTTTGTTCCCTTGTAAATGCAAATCAGGAGTTTCTTAGTTTTTTTATGCATCCCAATGCAAATGAAAATCGAAACACAACATGGGATGATGTGAAAGACTTTATGAGGGCTGTTGTGGTTGTATGTTTACATTTCTATAAAAATATGTTTATAGTAATAAGCAATCTCTTTTGCATTGCCATAATGAAGTGTCCTTGTTCTTTTTCTATAAATATTTATATGGTTCTGATGAGCTTTTCTCTTTGATACTTTGACCTCTTGAATTAAAATGTAGTACTAGATTGCCAGTTAGGTCTCATTATTTTACTGTTGATATTGCTTAGTCTAAGTGGAAGTTCTTTGTTAACAGTCTCTTCTCTTGCCCTTCTTGCTTGTGGAACTCTCATCCGGCTTCTTGCTTTATGTCAGCTACAATCTTTCAAAAATCTAAATGCTACATCAATCGTCATATTCTGTCTCTTTGAATCTTGCTCTTTTAATGTCTCCTCTCTCCTCAACAGATTCTTTCACTCCCAGTAACCTCTTGCATCTTAGTGGCTTTATTCCCTTGTTTGAGATGAAATGATAAAAAAAATTCCATCAATTGCTTATATTTGTCTTTGTGCGCATCTATGTGTGTGTCATGTTTTAAGAATTTTAAGACAAAAGTTTGCAAACTTATTTCTCTTGTTTTCAGGTGAATGGTGTACGCTGGCACCAGTGTACATATTGTACAAAGGAATTTAAAAAACCTAGTGATCTTGTACGGCATATACGTATTCACACTCATGAGAAGCCATACAAGTGTAACCAGTGTTTCCGTGCATTTGCTGTGAAGAGCACCCTCACTGCACATCTGAAGACTCACACAGGAGTCAAAGAATATAAGTGTGATGCCTGCAATAAAATGTTCTCTACATTGGGGAGCCTTAGAGTTCATTCCCGTTTACATACTGGTAAGTAAAATTAATTTGTCTAGAGTCTCTGATGTTTTCAGCAAAGTTTATTAAAAAAATGACTCTTTAAAGCATGTAATCTTGGTAATTTTTTAGTACAATTTTGATGTCACCAATTTGGCTATACAATTGTGTCAACTTTTGTTTCAGTTATATTCTAGAAAATATCGATATAAATCAGCCCCGCTGTAAATTAACCATTACAGAATGAAATGAAATGTAACGGTTGGCTGCTCATTTCTGAGTATACCCATTTGCTAGTGTGACTAAGCTAATGCCTCTTGCAGACGCTTGCTCAGGCACATCTGTGTTTCTTCAATATCCACAGAGCTGACCTGCAGCTATACTGAGCAGACCTTAGTTGCAGTTTCTGGTGGAGATCACATAATCTGGCGTGATCTTATATTCAAATCTTTGGTCACGATGACTTGTAACTTTGTGCAAGTACAATGATTGATGGTTCTTGAACAGTTTCGTCTACTCATTTTCACTTCTAAGACTTGAATCAACCACTGGTATGGCTTCCAGGCATTTTCCAATGGGGCTATACACTGGGATCATCTTCTCAGGCTGTCTAGAAGTCATTGCCCTAATAAAACAACCATGGTGAGATTTGAACCCAGATTTGAATTTATGAATGGAAATATACATAAGATATTTTAATACATGTGTCCTATTTACATATGTATCATAGTTAATAAAATGTAAATACTGTCCTGTATAGTACAAATAAAAATGTACATACACATTTATTAATAGTTGCCTTGATCTATCCACTACTCTCATCCTTTCTTCTATCACTCCTATCTGATCTTGCTCTAAACTTTCTGTAACCCCTTGCGTCCTAGTGGCTTCCCGCCTTGCTTGGGGTGAAATGCTTAAAAAAAAAAATAAAAAAAATAAGACTATGGATTTTTATTTTATTTTATATAGTCACTGAAACACTGTATATTTGTAGATCTTAGCGAATGAGATATTCTCAAACAAAAGACTTTGTCTGGATGCTTGGCTTGCAGATGTCATGTGGCAGCAAGTGAACAGGAATGTACAGGTTCATAATGGATGGATTTCCTTGCTCGATAACCAAGGAGATGTATTTTCATTGAAAAAGTTGACAATAAATAAACCATATGATAACAGAAGTGCTTGATAACCAAGATTCCACTGTAGTTCCTTATGACTGCAACTCAGTTTTGAGTCTTGATGAAGTTCATTTGTAAGTTGGGACAGGAGTTGACAAAACCTAGGTGTGACCATCTGGAGGATGAAAAAAGCCAAGTGTTTTGAGTTGATTGTGATGGTCAACAATAGATGGAAAAAATGGATGTGGAATAAGTCCGCTACAGATAAAAAGGCCACGTTTTGGTCAGTAATGTTGAATGGTAGAGAGATGTTTTTCATGATTAAAAAGATGTACTAAGATTGTGATTAAAAATACTGGTCACAAGAGGAAATCGGTTCCTCAATGAAGAAATTGGTTATTAGATATGTATGGATAGAACCGATTCTTTCTGGGTGAGGCATGATGCTACCAAGTTTCTGTTCTAGGAAGGATTTACTTGGATTGATTTTCAGTCAAATGTGTTGTAAATGTTGAAAGATTTTTATAAAGATTAATGTTATAATTGCCTTCCTCCTTGCTGGTGATAAGCACATTTATTTATGTGCACAAAATCCAATCCGTGGAATGTGTTAAGTTCCTGCTACCATTTTATGAATTTTAATAATTTTAAAGGTGTAATTATAACTGTTTTGGTAATGTCCTCTTTTGTCATGGATATTTGATTATAAGCATGTAAACAGTCTAACATTGAAAATAATTTTCCTTACATTAATACTAGTCCTCATCTTTGTTGTTACTATTGAATTGGTATGGTCTCATTGCTATATATCAGTGGCGATAACAACACCAAAAATGAAGATATTAGTCTGAATATAAATAACACAAATAGTGATAGCCCCTCATCCTAAAAAATGCAGACAGAAATAATTTTTCAGTTTTGCAAAGCTAGAACAAAATTTTGTATATGGGGAATGGGATATCTGTCTAGTACAGTAAATAATGTTTGTCTGCTCATATATGAGTATGCCTGTCTTGTAGTGCAGCTTGCCAATCCCTATTACAAATGCCTGTGTGATAAACAGTCTGAACAAGGTCAGTACACTCCTGCTTTCGTTCACAATGACTTGTGACTTTATACTAGCTTAATCACTAATGGCTTCCAAATAATGCCATCTACCTAATTTCACTCATGAGGCTTGGGTCAACCCATGGTATGGTTTGCAAGAATTGCACACTGGGATTGCCTCTACAGGCTGATAATATCAAGAAGTCACCTTCCTGACAAATCGACCATGATGAGATTTGAACCTGAGTCTAATGGTTGGAAAGCGAATGTTCTAACCACTCAGCCATGTGCCCATTCTGGTAAAGTAATTCTGTTGAGAATAATCATATAACTGCCAGTATTGGCTGTTTTTATTTTATTTAATTTTGGGATGAGGAAGAGCCTTTACAGAGTTGATGCTCAATGATTTCTTGATGGATAAATTATTTTCAATTTGTGCATCTTTTGGAATTATGCTTTAATTATTGTGACTTTGTCAAGATCACCCCATGCAAGGTAGTAAAGCCACTAAGACACAAGGGATTGCTGGGTGTGGAAGAATTAGAAACAGAAACATTACTATTGAATGAGAACAAAAAGAGTAATCTGGAGGACAGTAGATAGTGATTGACATTTGATTTAAATTTTTGAAGATGAAAGTTTGCTGGAAAGCATGAAACTGAAAGGGGTGAGTCAACCTTACGGTGACAGGAAAGTGAATGAAGATGATGAATGTTTGGTTGTTGCATGGACAGGTTGCTTTGTTGTTGTGCTTTTGCAATGCATTATTTGTTCTCATGTGTTTGTTTACCATACACACTATGGATTTTTTGTTTTACAATAAATTTTTAATCTTATAACAATATTGTTTAACAATACAATGTTAAGAGGGAACCTACTATATTGAGAAACAGCATTGATATTGGTTCAAATAAATACATTCCAAACATTATTTTTTTTATTGTTTCTTTTTTTCCTTTTCCAGGAGCAAAGCCATTTGAATGTACTCAGTGTGAGAGAAAATTTCGAACATCAGCCCATCTGAAGAGCCATATATTATCCCATTTTAAAGAAATCACTTTGCCAAAAAAACCACGAAGGCCAGTACGAAAACCCTCCAAGACAGACATTCCACTGCCAGAAATTGCTCTCCAAGAACCAATCTTGATCACAGATACAGGTGAGTTGTTAACCTGTTTTGTCTCTTTAGTCTTTAAGCATTAAGAGAAGTGTAACCTGATGTCTATAGATAAGACTGAAGGGCTCAGTAATTTTTGGTAACTCTCTATATGAAAAAAGGCCTTGTTTTGCATTTCATATAAGTAGATATGCAAAATAAATACATTAATATTCATTCATGCATTCTTTTGTTTGGAAGTAAACAAAAAAAATGAGTATCAATAATTTTATATTGATTGACTAATCTTTATGAAATTTGCTGATTGGTTTAATGCTTAAGGGGAAATAACTGCTGAAAAAATAAAAATGCTTTCAATTAATATAAATTTGTGTTTTTTCTTTTGCTTCATGAGAATGCATACGTTTCCTATTAAAACTAACAGGGTGTCCATAAAGTCTGTGTGCAATTTAAAATACTTAAGTATTTTAAATTGCACACAGACTTTATGGACACTCTCTATGTATGTATATATATATATATATATATATATATATATATATATATATATATAGCTTCTGTATACAAGTTGTAGTACTGTACATTTTCTAGTAGTAGTTTGACCTTTTAATCTAAAAAAAAAGACACATAGTGACATTAGGCCTCTCTGTAGCAACAGATGGTATTGTATATAATGTACCAGGATAACTTTTATATTGGACTTATTGATTTCATCTCTGAATTTTGTTGATCAAAGTTATAACTTCTGGGAGAGTTTTCGGTGTTATTCATGGCACCAAGCACTGCCATATTTATTTAAGACGGTTGAAGCATTGAAAAGAAATTCACCTGTGAGGCTTCTGTGTAAATTTTGAGTGTTGACTCATGCTTTACAAAAAGTTTTAAGTTCATAAAGCAATTAATAAATTTATGTTATTTTTATTTCATTTGAGGATTGTAGTTAGATTTTCTATTTAGGTTTCTGTTGCACTGAACAGAATAATCAAACGGAGGTTGTTAATGAATGATAATACTTAAGACACGAACAACACATATAAGATTCGCCAGTAGCGTGTTGAAGAAGTAGTCAACTGCTAGAAGTCAGTCAAGTGAATTCCACAAGTAATCTTCAACTGCAGGATATCTACCAATTGCCCCAGGTGGTCAGAATTTAATGTGGGGTATCTGAGCCTGTAGACTCGGCCAAAAATTCCCCATAGACCCTGTATAAAAAGGGGTTGGGTAAGCTGTTTCCCAAGATGAGACTCTGCCCTTTGATATAGCCTCATCTGGGGATCTTCTCTGCCTCCAGGCAGAGAGTTTGACCAGCACAGCTGGCGAGGAATTTTCAACTGATGACCAACATACAATATTTACTACTGTATTTGTGTGAATGGGGACATACCCATTATCATCCGTAGGTATGCTACAACAGTTTCTATGAACCCATAGGTTTTAAAGAAATGATAGGTGTACAATCCATGGGTCATAAGTGTTTTGTCAAATTGTTACTGCATTACAGTGAACAATACCATTTAATAACCTAATCTAAACTGGCATTGGAACCATGGCAGTTTGACTGAAGGAATTTATATTTAAATTCAAATGTATATATATATATATGTGAATTATATTAATCAGTTATAACTGAAAAGAAATTTAAAGTCAGTGTTATTAAATATAAAATAGAAAGGTCAGAGTTGATTTATTGTCAAAACTCCATTTTAATTCATAGATGAAAAAAATTCCACTTATGTTAAAAACTTGTGATTAGCTTTTGAGTTTTAGTATTTGTTTCACACACAGGCCTAATCCAGCAACCATCACGAAACAATCTTTTTAATAACTACCTCAATGAAATCACCCCTGACCGTCCACACAAATGCGGCTATTGTCAAAGAGGCTTCAAAAAATCTAGTCACCTTAAACAACATGTCCGATCTCATACAGGTAAGAAGTTACCTTTTCTTTTATGTCTGTAGATCCTTCTGATGAAATCGGATGTCAGGAGAGTTTATTCTTGTTGTCTTGAAATAGAATGTGTTTTTTACTTTAGCTTTCAGAAAAGATCTCTTCTCAAACAATAACCTGTTACTCATTGTTGTGTCTATATGCACATACACACACCCTTTGTTATATTTTAAAAAATATTCACTTGAAAGAAAAATATCATTGTGCTTATATTTAAAGTAAGCATACAATAAATTCAGTTGGTTTCTAAAACGCTTTTTTTCTTAGAAGTAGACATAAAGTAGATAATTTAAAAAAAATATTAAAATTTTTATAGAATTCTGTAATTTTAGGTCTAGCAATGTTAATTATAATTTTATTTCCTACAGTGTTTGTAGTAACCATTGTTGTTGTCTGACATTTCACATTACTATAAATTAGTCAAGTGTTAGCCAAAAAAAATTTATAGAATTATCTAAATAAGTCAAAATAATCTGTTTAATTAGATTTTCTTAAAACTTTAAAAAATAGTGTGTTAGATTGTTGAATTAATTGTTTATTTAAATGTGTCTCTCATGGTCAGCTCTATGAAGCTATGTCCAGAGTAGGAAATTCAAGTGGACTTAGCATAATGACAAAATGAAATTTCTAGAATAGATGTCTTGCTGAAAATGTTTATAAAGAAATTTTAGAAAAGTAAGATTACTTTATTACAGTTTAACTTTTCTCTGTTCATAATGCAAAAATATCACAATGACAAAATTGGTCAATAATTATTTATAACTATTTATACTGTGAATCATAGATGCAATTAAAAGTAATCCATAATAATATTTTAAATTTTGAAATCATTTATTTTTGATATATCAATTTTTTTGAAACTGTTTCTAATTCCTTGTCTTTCAATCATTCCCCCCGCCCCCATCTGCTATCCTCTTCCACCGCACATAGAAAGTGCTCTGAACCATTTGGAAACCACTGGTCTAGAAGAACATCTCTGAATTTAAAATCATTCTGAAGATGGTTAGGCTCTTACCCCAGACAATTCCATTACTTGTGTACTTTTTGTCCTTATGTCCTTTATGTACTCTCAAGTTTTCTTTCACTTCATGCTTCTTCTTTTGTTATTGTTTTTCTCAAGGGGAGAAGCCATATCAGTGCAAACTGTGTCATCGGTCATTTGTATCAAGTGGTGTACTAAAATCTCACACAAAGACACATACAGGCGTGAAAGCTTATAAGTGTACAATTTGTAATAGTGCTTTTACGACCAGTGGCAGCCTCAAGAGACACAACTCAACCCACACAGAAATAAGGCCCTTCATGTGTCCGTATTGTCAAAAGACTTTTAAGACTTCAGTCAACTGTAAAAAACACATGAAAACACACAGGTAAGATTATAAAGACATATTTATTTTTACCATTTTCTTAAGTTTGATAGATTTAAAAAAAAATTTCTCTTAAATTTCTGCTTATAACCATATCATGTTGAAAGACCAATTCTTGTACAGTCACCAAAGTTAAGCAACATCAAGCTCGGTCAGTACCTAGATGGGTGATTTCTTGGAGATACCAGGTGCAGTAAGCTTGGATGTGCGGGTGATGCAATTGATAATGTTTTGGAACTGAAAATCGGAGAGCCGGATTCCAAATCCAGTCATGTTCGTTACATGCAAATATCCTTGGGAAAGGTATGAATCCATCTATTCTCCTGCCAAATATGGGTTAAATAGTAAAGGTTGTATCAGTAAAGATCATCATTAATTCTCCCCCCACAACCAAATAAAATTCTTGCAATATAAAAATATTTCTGACTTTAAATAAACACTCCTGCTTCAATAGTAAATTTGGTATTGCTGACAAAACTAACATGGCCGTTGGTCTCGAAAAAGACCTCCAATCTCTGCTTGACTGGGGCAGGAAATGGCTGGTAAACTTTAATGCCTCCAAAATGAAACTGCTCTCATTTACCCGCCACAGAGAACCCTCCCAGCCTCCCATCAGAATGGCTGATGCCTAACTCCATGATTGCATCTCTCTGCACCTGCTTGGTCTCATTCTGTCCACTGACCTGAGGTGGAACAAATACATTGAATCAATAGTTTCATTTACCGCAAGGAAAGTTCGTTCTCTGTGTCATACCAGAAAATTTTTCTTGTTTGAGTCCATCCTTCAAATCTACAAATCAGCCATTCATACTTGCATGGAATACTGCTGTCATAGATGGTTGGGAGGTCCTGCTGTTTGGCTTGAGGTCCTTGACAAAATCCAAAGACAGATATGCAATATGATGGGTCCTGATCTGGTATCTCGTCTACAGTCACTTTCTCACAGATGTGCCGTTGCTTCCCTCTGTCTTTTCTACAAGTAGTTTCGTTGGTTCTCAAAATGCATGAATTTAAGCATGCTACTAGATTGGCATCTCACCCTTTCACTGTCAAAACGGTTAAATGTCGCTGTCTCTTCTATTCCAGCAGCTTCTTATCTTGCATTTCCGTCTGTGGAATTTCCTTCCACCTACTTGCTTCCCTCATAGCTATAATCTTCAAATATTCAAATGTAATGTCAATTGAAATCTTCTCATGCCTTGATCTTGATCCACGTCCTTCTCTTTATCCTTTCCTCAAACACGCCTCTTTACTCTTGCTTTTACTGCGTGCTAGTGGCACTCCCGCCTTGCTTGGGGTGAAATACTTAAAAAAAGAAAAAAAAAAAAAAAAAAAAAGCAACAACCCAACCTTAAATTTCTATCTTAAAATGGATTGAGGATTCATAAAACCAGGTGTTGGGATAAAATCAAAATTTCTGTGAGGAATTAAGAGGTACTGGATTTTGTCTGGATAAATTGTTTAAAGTATGTGACTGCTCTGCAACTAATTCAAGATTATTTTTTAACAGACAGATCAAATTGAGTTAATTTTCAAAAATTATCTTTTCATAGTTGCTGTTTCTCTTATTCTTGGTAAAAAAATTCACTAATTATTGCTATCTTCTCCTTTACCAGGTAATAAGTACATGGCTATATGAGTATATGCAAAGTTTGGGGGCAAGGGTGTCCCTGGAAATAGTTGTGAAAGTGTAATAGCAAAAAGCATTTGCTAACCATTACCTTAAGTAAAATATCTTTTGTAACAAAAGGCATTTTGAATTTTTTAGTTACTTCTGTAAATATTTAAAAACAAATAAAACAAAAATAAAAAAAAATCTTTTAATTGTGGCTCTTCACGGGAGTGCCACTAGCACGCAGTAAAAGCAAGAGTAAAGAGGCGTGTTTGAGGAAAGGATAAAGAGAAGGACGTGGATCAAGATCAAGGCATGAGAAGATTTCAATTGACATTACATTTGATATATTTCATCAAGTTCTCTCTAATTATGAGGAGGTGCTGAAAGATTCTCGGCCTGACCCACTTCCCAAAATTATTATTTCAGTGGCCAAATATTAGAATATTGATTTTAGGAAATAGATCAGGCTAAGAACTAATAAAAAAACAAAACAAAGAAATATATAGTACTGTACAATTATGAAAAAGAATATGTAAGATTTACTGACCTTTTTAGCAGTGTAGTTCAGGGGTTCTTAAGTTTTTTATTTTTTGGAATGACCCTAAATTTTATGGAGACCTGTGTTCTTATAAATAAGATTTGTTGAAAACTGATTAAAAATTACTGTTTAGTATTAAATAAAATGAATGGTAATATTTTATCAATGACTAATACAAAAAAAAAGATCTTTACTTTGTGATGAGATCTGTTATATCCAAAATCCATTATACTAAAATCAGTTTAATGTGTGTGTGTGTGTGTGTGTGTGTGTATATATATATATATATATATATATATATATATATATATATATATATACACACACAAAACAAAAAACTTGCAACACCCTGAATATGTTTCAGTTTACTCAAGGTAAATACACAAGTAATATAGCTGGATTTTTTTTTAATAATTTCACTCCAAGTAAGGCAATAAAGCCACTATGACACAAGAGAGTTACTGAGTGTTAGAGAATATGAGAAAAACTACTATTAAGAAGGGTGGACAATAAAAGAGAAGAAATAATCTATAAGTTGGCTAAAATAGAACAATTTTAGATTTAAAAAATTGATTCAATACAATCTTCCTACTTTGTATTAATACTTTCACTACTGTATTATTATTTCATTGTTGCTTGAGTGTACTGACCTGTTTAGAGAAAAATAGAATATTTTGGTTTTGTTTGGATACTCTGCAGTACAGACTAAACGAAATAACATGTTCAAATAAAATATGTCATTAAAACAAGTTTAGAAATAACACTAAACGCTAGTTAGTTTATAACACAAACAGCAGAGACTGACATTTCACAGTGCCTTAAAATTATATATCATAGATATAAAGTACAGTGTACGTGCATATATTTGTGCATATGTATGTTCAAGCAGCCTTTCAACTCACACTTGTTTGATTTCAATGATTCATAGCTCATTCAAAAGCCCTAGAAAAAGTTAGACGCTGGGAACGATTTTCCTTGAGCTCAGATTCAAGGTTGCCAGATTGATGTGAGGTTAAAAATATATATTAATATATTATACTATGTAAGGTTAAAAATATATATTAATATATTATACTAGCTATTATTTTTGCTTTTATGGTTCAAAGGGAGTAACTCTTATTTTCCTTTTGTATCCAAAATTGCAGTGCATGTTTTATTACAAACTAGCTGTCAGGCAGCATTTAAGCTAGCTCCTGTGGAGGACTCTTGGTTTGGCCATTGGTGCCACCTTCAGCATCCCAACACTAGAGTTCCGTAGATAGGCTCTCCCACAATCACTCTGTCCACTTGTCAGGAGAATGATAAAAATATAGTTTTAAGGTATACTATATTTATAGGTAAAAGTACTCAATATCAGGGATAGGACATATGTAGATATAAAAGTTGACACTGAAGTCAACACCTAACCTGAAGATTGTGTTCAAGCATGAAACAGACTATCGCCAGTTGATATCAACCTCAGTGTTCACTTTCATGCATGCATGCACACACACACACATGGGTCTCAGTAGGCTGTAGAATAGTATCCAAACAAAAGTGGAGATAATGAGACAAGATGGAAAAGCTTTCACAGACAACATGTTTCGCCTCTGTTTGGTAGGCATCTTCAGGTTAGAAGTGTATAATTGGAATCTTTCAGGATGGGGCATTAAACAACCTTATTGGATATTACAGCCAGAAAATCTTTTTTGTTTTGAAGCTGTTTATATCTCCCATATTTGAAATTAGCCTATTCTAAGTAGATTTCATGTTTTTTTTTTTTCACTATTAATTCATATACAAAATTGTCCTACTATTGCTTTTGTGCATTTCGGCAATGTTGTGCATGAGCCTGGTCTGAGGTTGAATGTGGAGAATTGTGAGATTAGTGCACTTTCAATACATTTTCTTAGTGAATTTGTTTCTCTTATCAGACTAGAATTTATTAGGTTGATATTATGTTGAAATATATATACTCATATATATATATATATATATATATATATAAATAATGATATACCTGTGAATTATATAAGATGATTGTATTTTACATTTCTTTTTGTGCAGACATGAGCTTGCAATGCAGGCGTTGCAAGAGGGACAATCTTTGCAATCTGAAAATGTCCAGCAAAACTCGGTCGTAGAGAATGATGAACATGGGGCAGAGAGGGAAACACTTGCTCCACAAGCATCAAATGTTTCAACAATTGACTCTGGTCAGCCAGAGGCATCGACAGCAGCAGCTGCTTTGCAAGAAAGTTCCATGCCTACCGAACTTGCTGATATCAGTCAAAGTGATCTCACAGGGTCCAATACTGCAGTCTTGTCACAGACAACTATTCCTGAAGGGTTATTGGAACAGGTAAGGAGTACTGCATGCTTTTGAATTTTCTAACTGACACTTCAATGGAAAATTTTTCAGATAAAAATAAAAGTTTACTAAAGATTTAGTTTTGATTAATCTAAACTTGTTTTTTTTTTTTACATCGGCTACCAGTACTTGTATACTTATAAAAGTATAATAGTAAGTGTAAATGGAGGAGGGTTTTATGTAGAAAGTGTAGGTATCTAGTAAGTTAATGTATATCAAGATGATGTAGGCTACCTGTATTTGTAGCTAATCTCTCTCAATAATAGTCATATTAAATGTAATTCAAGATGGGTGGTGTTCTTTTATGCTATCACATATAATAACATGCTGAAACACAAATTAACACTTTGTTATCATTTAGACATTTTTAAAAGAGTTTCTAAGAACCTCTAAAAAATAAGAAAAAGAACACAATTCAAAGTTTGCAATCAAAAATTTAACTTAAAAAACATCAAACCAAAAAAATGTTTGGAAATGGTTTTTAAAGTAAATTTAAAACAAATAATTTGTCATGTTTTTTCTTTTATTTTGTATAATCAAATAATGATTTTTTATTAATTCAAATTCATAGGTATTTTCCCAACAAAACCTTCTTGGAAACCAGCAGAACTTTGCCCAAATCAATGCCTTTAGCCAAGGACAAATGGCTTTGCCTGTAAGTAATTGCATATCTGTTGTAGAGATGTGTGCTGTAATTAAAAAAAAATTGGTTTATTCTATATTTAATCACATTGGAATGTAGGCCAGAATTTGATTTTTGGCAATCTGTTTAAAAGTGGTAATATATATATATATATATATATATATATATATATATATATATATATATATATATATATATATATGTGTGTTTTTTATTGTACACAAATTTATTCAATATTGTTATTGTAATGTTTTAACTATTGTATCCTCTGACCTTGTTATATTTAACATTTTTGGTGTTATCATTTTAGTCCAATATGGTAGACTGTTTTCATTCTCAGTATAAGGGTTCATATCCAATTTGGAAAACAGAGAATTTTGGTTTCATGCAAAGGAAATCAGGAAAATTTCTAATGTAACTTGACAGATATTGAATGGCATGTTTATTATATACTTTTTTTAGAGTAAAAATTGTTTGAAAATAAATGCTGAATTTTATTTAAGTGAGATATACACACACACACACATATATATATATATACATACATAAAAAAGAAAGAACAGTAAGATATATAATCCAGTGTTCTTATTGATATTTTTATTTTTACAAAATAGTGCTCAATGTAAATTTACAGAACATAAATATTATTATAAGTTAACTGATTTAAAATCTACAGGTAGCATCATTTTTTTTCAAAGTATGCTCATCAAAAACTAGCTCTGTATTAGATTCAATTAAGATGACAAATGTATTGTTGACTTTTTATTCTGTGACTCAAGTTTCAGCTTTTAACAGCAAATAATCTGCCACAGTGTCATGTATATAAATATGTTACAAAATCAAAAGTATTATTGAGTTTAAAAGTAGTTGCAAGTTGCTTTTCATATAACTCTTCATAAGATATTATGGAACTATTCAAGTTAATGTTTCCAATAACATTGCCAAAAATTTATCTGTTGGTTCTACAAAGTTGGCTTCCTTGATTACACAGGGTTTGGCACCTTATTTTCATAAAGGACTGCCAAAGTTTTTAATGAAATATCCAAAAATGACATTAAATTTCAGGGCAATTCAATCTACAAGGGAATTTTAGTAGAATAATCATTGAATTATCAGGGAATTTTATTCATTGCTTTGGCTGGGGACATTGACTTATTTGACTGAAGCTGAGTCTATTGATTTCACTGCTTGACCTGGGGACTGAACTTACAACAAGGTAAACAGCATACATGTAACTAATGATTATATCCACTAGGCCAAAGGACAATTAGGTGGTGAAATGGCCTAATGGATATAAGCATTACTTAAATGTATACACTTTACTTAGTGGCTGTGAGTTGAGTCTCCAGGTCAAGCAGTGAAATCCAAATTCTCTGGTTTAGTGGAATGAACAGATGCAGTATCACAGGAGTAAACTAGCATGGGCAGTGTAATGGTTGCATTAAATAAAAACTTCTGTTCAAAATTCTGACCATGTGACTGAATATAATAGGCACAAAAAAAAAACAAAAACAAAGATGAGGACGTCCAGTATATAAATAAATAATAATAAATCAGGGTACAATTTGTATGTTAACACTACAGTATTTACTTACATCTCCTATAGTGCTCAAAGTCATGGGTCACTTACCAACACCACCTGTAACTCCTCAGATAGTTCCATGAGCATTGTCTCTGCACAATCCTTAACATCCACTGGAATGACTTTGTCACCAATATTGAAGTCCTTGAAAAGGAGAAGATCACCAACATTGAGGCCATGCTGCTGAAGTCCGAGCTATGCTGGGCTGGACACATTTCCAGGATGGAGAATCATCGCCTGCCTAAAATTTTATTGTACAGCAAACTCTCCATTGTCTAGATAGGCACCAAATAAGTGATTCAAAGATTGCCTGTAAAAAATCCTTTGGTGCCTGTCACATCAATCATTGCCAATGGCCAACCCTAGCTGAGAACCATGATGCCTGGCATCTCATCACTAACCATTCTGTCTCCTTTGAAAATTCCTGCAGGGCCACTTTCAGATACAAAAGCAGAGGAGGAAGTATTGCAATGCTATGTCATTGAGCACAGGCTGGACTTTTAGCTGTAACTATTGTGACTGAGTATGCCTGTCCCACATTGGATTTATCAGTCACAAACATGTCTGCAAGTGACGTGTACAGACTCCCTTTTGATCTTCGTTTTGCAAAGCAAGCCATGATTTGCTTACATAATGTATTTGATACATTTGGTGGAGGAGGGGTGTAAGTAAAATAATAACAATAATAATATTTATTAAGAATTTATTACAGGAAATATCAAGTTTTATGGAAACATTGTTGACAATTTGTATTTAGTTACATAACAAATAAATAAAAATAATATAAATTTTGATGCTATATTTGATTTGTTGTTAGGTATTTTTCATTTTCTCCTTTGTTATTGGCAGCGTTTTAGAATATTTTGGCTGCAATGCTAACTTTCCTAAGTTGAACAAACTGGAACTATTTTGTTTGCACTTTGTTACCTCTCTTTTCCATTGTTGTTCTTAGATCGCTTTCTTTCAGTCATTTTGATGGGCAATAGTGAAATTCTGAAATTTAGAATGATCTTATTCCATTTCAAAAATAAAGCCAGTAAAAAGGAATATTTTAAATAAATATGCTTTTGACAAAAAACCTTAATGATTTCACTATAATTATGTAACAATAATGTAATGATATTCCACAGAAAAATCTATGGTTTATGTTATCTCATTTCATTGTTATGAACTATAAACCTAAACTGAGCTTGAAATATTGTGTAATTGGCTCTAATTTTTTTATAAAAAAATGATATAATGAATAATTTGCAGTGAAAAAAGCAATTTTTGATTTTTGATTTTTTTTTTTTTGTTGAATATACCCCTCCTCTGCCAAATGTGTCATATGTGTTGTTTCTTTAATAATATCAGTCCATTAACATTTACCATAAAATCCAGAATTGTGAAAATTAAAATAAAAATCTGGTATTACAGGTTTCTCCACTGTGTCCCAAAAATGGGATGATAGACTGATAGATGAGTTAAACAAAGCTTCACCCATTTTAAAAGATCAAAGAGATAAAGAAGTAATAAAAACTGAAGATGAAAGAAACAAATAACCTCTCTGGTTATTTCTTTGTTTCTTTTGTCTTAATATCTTCCACCTTTCTTTTCTCACACTTTCTTACTTACTTACCTTTCCATCTTCACTCTTTCTTTCTCACCACTTTCTTTCACTTGCTTTTTCCAAGTCTCTTGTGTGAAAATGAACAGATAGGCAGTTCATAGGTATATTGTGTGTTTGTGTGTAACAATGCCTTTTGCAGGACACACATATATTATACTTATCTTGGACAGAATTTGATCTTAGTGTATACAGATACCCTATTCATATAGTCAATACATAAATAATCCTGTCATGTTTTTTAGGTATGATGTTAATTATGATAATTTTTCCTCTTAGAAATTGAAATATCTTTTTGTCTCTCAAGGTGAAGATAGCAAAAAAACAAAGATCACTAAGACCCTAAAAATGAAATGCTTTTCTATTTAGATAATTTGGATTGTTGTCCTCATCTTTATTGCCATATTGACGATGTTTTGGCCATTGTATGCTCTGGTCTCAGAGTGATATACATTGGTATTTCGAACTGAACCCTTTAGTCCATTTGATAGATTGTTCTAGTTCCATGTGCCATGCCTTTTTTGGGATATATCAGTATCAGTTAATTCTCTTTAGTAACTCAACTCTCCAAGTTTTTGTTCCCTCTGCTGTGGTCAGGTATTGAACTCCTAACTCTTTGGGTCAAGCCATGTTTTTAATCACTCAACCAATGCTTTTATCCACAGGGTCATTTGGGTGTAAAAAGTTACAATACTTCATCTTAGAAACACAGATAAATTCTTTTCTTTCTTTCATATTGTTAACTGGTGCAAAAGATGGCTTGTCAATTTTAACGCCTCCAAAACTAAACTTCTCTCCATTAATCATCTGAGAGACCCCTCTCTGCCTTCCATCAGCATGGCTGATGCTATCCACTGAGAAAGTGACTTGTTGCGCTTTCTTGGGGAAATGTTCTCTGCTGAAATGAAGTGGAAAGATTACATTGAACTCATTGCTAGATCAGCTTGTAAGAAAGTCAGTTCACTATGTTAGGTGTGACAATTTTTCTCTCTGGAATCTATCTTGCATAGCTATATGTCTACCATTTGTCCATGTTTAGAATATTGCTGCCATATATGATTAGGTGCCCCACCTATTTACCTGGCTCAGCAATATTATTGGTTCTTATCTGGTGACTTGACTTCAGTCACTTTTCCATTGCCATAAATTTGCCTCTCTGTGCCTTTTTTATACATACTTTCATGGTAATTGTTCTGATGAGCTTTTCACTATGGTACCTAAACTGTATGAATTTAAGTACAATACAATAGACTGGTGTCGAGATCTCATCAACTTACAGTTGAGCCGGTTAGATGTAGCTGTAAATTCTATGCTAACAGTTTCTTTTCTTGCATTTCTCACTCATGGAACTCCCTCCTGGCTCCACGCTTTCCAGTCAACTTTACTCTGTAAAAATTCAAATGCAATGTCAAACGCTATCTACTGTCCTCCTGATTTCTCTTTTCTCTTTCTTCTCATTACTAATATTTTTGTTTCTAATTCTTCTACACCATGTAACCCCTTGCATGCTAGTGGCTGTACTGTTTTGTTTGGGGTGATACCGATTTAAAAAAAAGAAGCAGTAAAAATTATTTTTATAAACTGCTAAAGTGAGCAGTTTTTTGTGATGTCTAATGCTGAAACAATGAAGCCATATCAATAGATATAAAGGCAAAGCCACATAGAAGATATATTTTTTTATCTGGAATAATTCATAATGAGACTTGCCTGCTGTTTTTTTTTTTTCAATAAGGTTTTTCTCTATATAAATATTTGCTTGATTTTCCGTTTTACCAGTGTTCATCATACGTCTAAAATAATTGAATGATGGTCAGGTGATGTAAATTACATATCAAATAAGTTTATAATTTGAATATAGACATTTGCAAACTATCAAATTTCAGATATTAAAAAAAATCATTTTGTTGAGATTTGTTCACTATTTTTTGAGTAATTTCTTGAAAATGTAAACTCTAGTTACAATATCAATCATTGTATTATTAATAGTTTATATTATAATAATAATAATAATAATAATCATCCAATTTCTCAAGGGAGATAACTCCAAATATTTTAAATGTAGAATATTTAATTCGCTATTTATTTTATTCATAAATATCTGGTTGAAAGTAAAGTTCTTGTAGTATCTAAATAAATTTGATTTTTTAGAAGCCGTAAGAATTTTCCTTCCAACCAGACATTTATTTTTGATTTTATTAACTGTTAAATTTTCCAAAAATCTCATGAGCGCATGCTGTTGTTGATTGGAGGTTATGCAAATCATCTGAAAGGTCATTATAACAACCAGAAGAAAGCCAACTATGGCAAATTGCCTTATTGTCCTGCCAACAATATCAGTGTTATTTGCAATAAGGTTTACAGATCATCATTTGGACTGAAGAGGCACATAGTGGTACAATGGAGAGTTGCAAGCCATGTAGATCCAATCAACACAATTGGGGATAGAGTTTATCTATGCCTGATACCTATCAAATCAAATGATGGTCATGAGTCTCTTTAGTGACCATTGATGCTGAAATGAGACAGAAATCATCATAAACGATGAGAGGGATGAGGCAGCGGCTCTCGTCTGAGTAAGATGTAATCACCATGTTCATATATAATAGGAAAAAAGCAAAAGTGGCACATCATAGCAACTATTTTATTAGTTCACTGCTGTTAAAATGCTTTAACATGGAGAATAACAAAATTTCTGGTCTGCTTTGTAAGTTGATGTAGTGAACAGTCCCGTAGAAGCAAGCGAGCCAGATTGGCTTGCATTTGATGCATAGGAAAATAAGGGTCTTACATTAACGTACGACACATGACATTGGCAAGTTTGCTCTGTGAAAATGGCATTACTCTCCCATCTGGCAATTCCAACAGTATGTGCGGTAACGAGGGTTTTTGTACAGTTTGGCATGCTTCCACCAATAGCAAGTTGTGTGTTGATTGGTTGAACTGGAGGAGGCTATTTACCTGGGTAATTGAGAATAAAAGCAAAGAACGCTGATTGGTTGGTTGACCATGGTGTTGGCCTGATAAAAGAGGGCTGAAGCAGTGAAAAGGGAAGAAAAAGACAGATTTACGTTTTGAAGTGTTCAGAAAGCAAGAACGGCAGATTGAACCAGTGGTATCTTGATTTTTACAAGTGATGTTGTAGTAATAGAGACTCATTAAACTACAGTTGATAATAATCGTGTAGGGTCTGCATTTCTATTTACTCCAAATGATCTTATTTCTCAAACGAGATAACTCCAGATATGTTAAATGTTATTTATAGAGCACTTTCTTTTGTTTACTTGTCGTTGATGCTAATATAAATGTCTTGTTATTGAGCTTCATATCTGCTGTTATTATCTTTTGAGTTATATATATATATATATATATATTTTTTTCTTTCCAGAACAATCAACAATTAACAAATGTCATTGATGTGACTCCCTTAAGTGCATCATTTGCTTCTACTCTAGCTTCCACCCCTATACTTACAACAAGGTAAGATATTTCTTTTGTTGTGTTCTGCAAGTGATGTGGTAAACCAATTTCTTGTGCAGTTTGTTGCTGGTTTTCAACAAGACCATTATAGACTCATAGTTATTTAGCCTTGAAGTAGTTCTGTCAGTTCCAAGGAAATATTTAACAACTTTACTGTAATTGAAAATAACTGGTTTATATTGTAAAAATTACAAAATAGTGTAATAATATAGAAAATAGGATATATAGTTAACATCTATTCTTCATTAATTCTACCTCCCTTATCAAAATCCAAGAAAAAAATCAAATGAACATTTTGGGGCCAAAAATTTTAATTATGGATTTGCTTTGTTGATAATTATAGATTTAATTTGTAATTTTGATGAATATTTATTTTGATTATGAGGCCAAAAATATTTCATTAAACAGTAAACATGTAGTAATTTGTATATTCATTCTTCTCTTTAATACAAAAAATCTAGATGTGTTTTCTTTTCCCCCATTTCTCTTAATCCCTTAGTGACCTATATACACAACCTACTATTAAACTTGTTCTGAAGATCATATTGAAAGATAAAACTGTCAGTCACCATGTAGTATTGATTCCTGTGTCCACACTATCTTGATACTGAGAACACTTTTCCTATAAGTATAAAAATTTTAACCGATAATTTATACTCGCTATTATACTAATACTATAAAAATGATATTTTGTTAAGTCCTTTAGACTGATTTCATATGTGAGTCTTTAAGAATACATTTGGCTAATTATTACATTTTACCGATTCATACACTGATATCCTCTTATCCGACCCCCCCCCGGTCATTTCTCGATTTCAGACATGACACATTTTTTTTTTTATTTCGCCTGTGTTGCTGTTTTAAATACATTGACACAGTTATTCGTCTTGCACATGAAACATTAAACGTGACCTACTAAATGTACTTTGTGTATTATATACAGTAAGATTAAAAAAAAAAATTAAAGTTTAACATTTAAGTGTCTCCTTTCCTTCGTGCGCATGTGCAGTTACATCAACATAAAATCACTTTTGTCATATGAAGTCCTAAAGGTTGAAACACATCATATGAAATGTTTTCCCCCACTTTTGTTATTAATTTTCTTCATATAGTAAGATTATCTATTATTATTTTACCATCTAAAACAATTCTACTTTATCATTTTCACCTGTCACACATGTTACCATAACAACAAAATACCTTATTGCAATTAGGGAGTTCAGATTTTAGGACCAATAAATATATAATATTTTATGTTTTATATATATTTATGTCACGTATTTTATACTCTGGAAAAGATTATCTTTATACTGAAATACAATTGCTTGTATTAAAACATTACAGTTCAGTTTTATTAGTCATGAGAGATCAATATTCTTGTATTATTTCAAACTATTGTCCTCGCCTTGGTTGATATGGATGTTATTATAGACAAAACATTTCAATCAAAAACCCTCTGCTCATCATCAGATGTTTGGTAATTGGCTGATATGGGATATCTGTTGATTATTATGGTATTGTGATATTTTGTCTCTGTGATGTCAGTTATTGTTCATCCCTGTTGAATTGGTGGGTCCTTACCAGATCCAAGGATTAAACTCATGGCTAGTAAAACCTGTATTAATGTTATGACTTGTAACACGTGTTATAACAAATGACAGTAATACTATGTCATTGTCCTGAAGGATATCAGGGGTGTGGTCTTTTATATTCAATGTCAGATGGTTTTGACATTTGGTGGGTTTGTACCTCTTTGTGTTTTTAGAGACATTGTGTCTGTAATAACATCTATATCAACCAAGATGAGAATAGTTTGAAAGAATATGAGAATATTGAAAATTACTTATTCCAGAAATGAAATACTAAATTATGAGAGATCCATCATGCAGAAATTATTTTGAAACAATTTCAAGTTTATATTTGTACAATGCAGTCATTGTGATTATATTTAGGTTACAAGGAAAAAAAGGAAAAATTTTTTTAAATTATTATTTTTGTTTATTGACTACCAAAAATTCAAAGTATTATTCTTCATAAATATGAGAAAAGTTATATTTTTATGGGCAACGATTCCTTGAGTGGAGGGTATTTTCTTGCTGGTGCTTTTCAGACAGTGGCACATTGATTTTGGTCTCCCAGTCAAATCTTTATTAGTGTCACCTGGTCACCTAGGAGTAAATTATAGATTTTCAGGAGCTTGTACTCTTCAGTTTAGATTTCAACAAAATTGTCCTTTGCAGCTCTCGAGAACCTCAATTGACGCCAGCTCAACAGCAGCGACAGGCAAACATACAGCGAGAAATGGATGAGGGCAAGAGGTCGTACAAATGCAGCTACTGTGGCAAGGGATTTAAAAAGTCCAGCCATTTGAAGCAGCACATAAGGTCTCATACAGGTAAGAAATTGAAAGCCATTTCTGTTGTCTTTGTTCTTTCTCATCTTTTTCTTATATAAATCTTTTAATTTCTGTCTGAATTTCTAGAATGAGGAGTTATCATTATTTTCACTTTTTATATTCAGACTATTGTCCTCATCTTTGCTGTTATTTGCAACATTTTGGTTGTTATACCATTCGACCTTCAACAGGTGTATATCAATCCAAGTAACCTACAGGGAATTCTGAACTGAACCCTTTATTTAATCTATGCGAGTAAACTGTTTGAGATGTGATATCCCTAGACATAGGCAGTGAAGTGAGAATACTAGATTAAACTAGATGAGATATTTCTAGATATGGGCAGTGGAATGAGAACGGTCTTCTCCCATAGATTAAATAAAGAATTCAGTTTGGAATCCCCTGCATGTTAACTGGATTGATTTACACCTCATAAAGGCCAGAGATCACAATGGCCGAAATATTGTGATAACAACAGCAAAGATGAGGACAGTAGTCTGAATGTTAATAAAGTAAATAATAAATCTTTTAATAATTATGTTCTACTAATAGAGATAGTTAATACTTGCTTAGAGCCATTTTACTAAATCACTGTTTAATAAAACTGAATATTCTTTTTGACAATAGAGAAAACAAATTGAAATAGCTGAAATGCAAAGCAAAGGAAAGCAAATTGATGCATTTAAAAAAGTTTGTGGAAAAAGCATGTTATAAGAAAATTTTTATAATTGTTTGCATGGCAAGTGTCCTGATGAGCTACTTTCACCGGTGCCCCATCTGTGTGAATTTAATCCTTTCCTCAAACACCCCTCTTTACTCTTTACTCATGCTCTCACTCTCTGTAACCCCTTGCATGCTAGTGGCACTCTTGCTTGGCATGAAATGCTTAAGTCAAGCCAGACTTACATGTTATGACCTGTATGAACTGGAAGTTGATGCCAGTTTTAAATCAACCCTTTTTAGACTAGCATGAATTCAGTCAAAGTTAAAACAAGAAGCAATGTCAAATTTATGGCCAAACTTGGTTGAAAGACTGATGACATTATTAATGATTTGAGAAAAGATTATGGAGACAATTTGCTGGAAAAAATCAATGATTTATAAATGGATAACTTGTTTCAAAGAAGAATGAGTTGAAGATGATGAATGAATTGGCAGACCATCCACATAAGTTTGTGAGGGAAAAAAAATCTATACTTTTTTTTATATTTAATTGAAAGTGACTGACAGTTACCAGCAGAAATAACACTTAACACTCTAGATATCATCTTAGTTCAGCTTATAAAATTTTATGTGAAAAATTAATGCTGAGTAAACTTTCTGTTTGTTAGGAACCAAAGTGTGTTAAGTGCAGATCTGCAACAAAGTCCTAAAGTTTTTTTTCAGAGGGGAGGTAACTGGAGATGTAACTTGGCTTTACCAGTATAATCTTGAAGACAAAATTCAGTCAGTGGTTACCCAAAGGTGTAAAGGATCTAGTCAAAGCAAAAGGAAGGCTGAAAAGTTTTCTTTTCTTGGATGCCGTGGACATCTTACTAGTTGACTTTTTTGAAGAAAAAAAGATGGTAACATCTGCTATTTATGAACGTGTTCTGAGAAGATTAGCTAAAAAAAATGTACTGCAGAAACATTAGAGAATACTTTCCTGCCACAACAAGGCCCCTGCTCAATTGTCTCATCAGACAAGAGGAACATTATGAGAATTTCTATGGAAAATCATTAGACATCCATATTATAGTATTTAATATTTAATGCCTTTTGACTTTTTCTTATTTCCTAACCTTCGAAGATTTTTGAAAGGTATCCATTTTGAGAGCATTAACGATATAAAATAAAAGCTGCTTTGACCCGCATTTCTTCTGGGATTATATAAATGGCTGCTATCATCGCTTACAGAAGTGTCTTGGTGTTGATAGAGTTAATGTGGCGAAAGAAAGTTTATCTTTAAAAATATTTGCTTTTACTTCCATTTTTTTCCCCACAAACATTTTGAATTTTATGTGGATTGTTAATTGTTATGGATTTTCAAACTATTTCATTTTGATTTAGTTTTCTACAAATGACTGCTACCCATTTTGTTTGAGATTTTTGTTTTTCAGATTTTTAAAAAATTCAGTTTCTTTTTTAGTCAGATAATTATTGTTAAATGTTGGAATATACCAAATGTATGTTATATTGTGTGTAATTGTATATATAGTAGGCCTATTCTTTCAGTAACATTTACGTTAATTCCTGACAAATTCAGTTTTCATGTTGAATGCACAGCAATTAGATTGGCTATTGATACTTGCTCAAAACAAATTTTAGGTATAAAGTAAAAACATTCAATTGTTAAATAATAAAATTCCACTTTGAATTTCTTATGTTCTTATGGTTATTTTCATTCATTCATAGTCCTGTGAATGGTGTTCATTATTTTGTCCCAAGATTAGTACTTACCAAGAATGGGTAACTACAAATTCTTCTGTGAGAGTAAAGACAAAACATAGTCTATAAATATGGTTCTGAGGTTATTTTTTTGCATTGGTTTTCTAGCAGAACATAGCATTCAAAGATCAGTTTAATGAATTGTTTATTCATTATATTTAATATTCAGGTTTCTGTAAATGTAATTAATACTGTTTAATTAAAAACAGAGCATTTACTTAAATAAATTATATCTATAAAAATAATGTATATACAGAAAATATATATATATATATATATATATATATATATATATATATATATATATATATATATATATATTTTTTTTTTGCAAACAAGTTTTGTTGAATAATATCAACAAATTATATCTATTCAATTTTAAGTTTTTCAAATTTTTTTCAAATGCTTAAATACATCTTATTTAAATTATATATATATATATATATATATATATATATATATATATATATATATATATATTTATATATATATATATATTTAATGAAAAACAGACCACTTTAAGGTACCATTACAATAATTTATTTCACGTCCTTTTTAAAAGATTCGGATCATCAGGTAACACTTCCAACAATGAAATGAGAGGAAATGATAGGAAAAATTTTTCCTCTCATTTCATTGTTGGAAGTGTTACCTGATGATCCGAACTTTAAAAGGGATTTTGGTGAAATAAATTATTGTAATGGTACCTTTAAAGTGGTCTGTTTTTCATTAAATATTAGCTCTGTTCTTCACATTGAGCTCTCAGGATTTCATCCTCCTTGGATTTACCAATTTGGTTTACCAAGTTCTTCATAACTTAACTTATATATATATATATATATATATATATATATATATATATATATGTTTGTGTGTGCATAGCATGATAAAATATAATTTTAAGGTATGCTATATTTATAGGGTAAATGTTCTCACTATTCAGGATAGAAAGCATATATATATATATATATATATATATATATATGTATATAAGAAATTCAAAGTGGAATTTTATTTTATATATTATTAATAGAAATCTTATAAGTATAAGAAACTATAGTCGCTCATATATAAAAAAAAATAATAATAAATAATAAATATAAAATATAATAAAAATATTAATTACTGGGGAGCAGAGACCTAGTCTAACAACCAACCATTTTATATGTCTACATTTGAATTTCGGTTTTAGAATTTAATGACTGATTAGGTTCCCTATATAGAGCTATAGCTAATTTTTCCTCAAGACATAGTTTACAAAACTTATATTTATTATATTTATATAATAAATTATAAATATATATATTTTATAAATTTATATTTTATATTTATTATTATTATTATTTTTTTTTTTAGAAACAGATAAACAAGGGTGGAACTATTTATTCAATCGATATATACATATATATTAAAGTTATCAGAATATATCTGTAGAGAAGACAAATTGAATATATATATATATATATATATATATATATTTCATTGAAATGCATTATTGGATATTATTCTCGAGACATTTTTCATAAATGTTTTTCCAAATGTCAATAACTTATATATTAATTGTCAGTATATCTAGTCATATGTAAAATGTACAATGCAAATTTGTTTACTTTTATCTGTTTTTAGCATTTGCTATGTCACTATATATATTAACCATGAGAGTGACTAAATTTCTCCCTGTGATGTCACATGCAAATAAGCATTTAGTATTAAATAAACTCTTTTAATAATGAGAGAATATATGAGAGTTGCTAAGAAGAAAGAAAGAAAGAAAGGTTGGTAAATAGTTTGTTGTATATTGTATTTTTCTTTTTTCTTTTCATCCAGGAGAAAAACCTTACAAGTGTACTCAGTGCAGCCGCATGTTCGTCTCTACAGGTGTGCTGAAGGCTCACATGAGGACACATACAGGTGTGAAAGATTACCGCTGCCAAATTTGCCATGCAACCTTTACCACTAATGGCTCCCTCACACGTCACATGATCATTCACAGCAATACAGAACCCTTCAAGTGTCCGTATTGTGTAGAAACTTTCCGTATTTCTTCATTATGGAAACGACATGTGAAAATGCATAAAGACACTCTGAATTGTAAGTTGTTTTTCAGCTGAAGAATTTCTTTGTTTTTTTTTTTTATGTTGATATTAGCTTTTATGACCCTCCCCAGAAACCTCTCCTATCCTGAATGAAGGTATCAAAAATTCAATTACCATGTTTTCTGGCTTACAAGATGCTTTGGCTTGGAAGACGCACCCTGATATTGGAAAGAAATTTCTAAGGAAAAAAAAAGTCATTCTCATACAACATCATATTCACCATGCATCCCTTACATACTGGTGCAACGTATTGTTACATTAATCACTTGTCCAACTTTGCTTGTATGGCAATGACATACTAGTCAAGAGCAGAAAGGCTCCTGCCACTGCTAGTAAACGGAGCATGTTTAAGCTTGTGGAAGGAAGGTTTATAGTCTTGGAAATAAAGTACTGAGGTTACATCATATAAAAGGCTAAATTAGATAGATAGCTAACATTATAGTGTAATGAATCAACATACAAATCCACGTCCCTATCAGTCATGCCAATTAGGTGACTGTCCAATCTTATTTAAGCCTGTGTGTTGCCTTACATTTGTCTTGGAATATGCACACATATTTTTCAGGGTATTTTTTAGGAAAAAAGTGCATCTTGTAAGCCAGAAAATACAGTGTGCCATAACATAGTATATTGTCAGGTGTCTAGACTTTTTTTGGAGTAATGCAGGTCATTTTTCATGCTGTTAACATTTAGGATGTTTGTACCTTCAACCATAAAAAGAATACCATAGACAGGGCATGTAAACAATGAGGAAGTTTTAAAGAAAAAGGGAAACAAAAAGGATACTTACACTTAGGACCAGAAAAAAAAAAACAGCTGAAATTCTTTGAACATTATAATGAGAAAGGAAGTCTTGGAAAATTTGACACTCACATTTGACATATTGATAACAAGAGGGACAGAGAGAGGTAGTGTGCCACCTGCCTGAGAATGGATGACATGATCAGGAGTGGGAGGGATGGTAAAATGATAAACATTACTAAGAGCTAAAAAAGTGTTGTAGTAAAGAATAAGAAAAAAAAAACTATAAATTTATAGTAGTAATAAATGCCTGCAATTGGTTTCTTTTGTCTCTTGTTTGCAACACTTGTAGCCAAATAACAGTTCAAATGATAGTCTGTTGCAACAGTCCAACAGGCAACAACAAAATGGAGACACAAATCCAACCTTCACTTCTCACCAGCATAAACGCATGCTCATCCACCAAGCTCAGACAAATCCTGCCCCCATAAGTGAAAAACAGTGGCTTTTATTCACCAAGCAATTTTTCTGATTGGCCACGCCATTCAGGAGAGGAAAGAAAATTAGCATAGATTCTGATACTTAAAGTAGCAGATTTTTGCTAACTACTTTTGGTAAACCTTCTTCAGCAGATCACACACAAAACACAAACTCTTTTTCGAGGTAGGTGATTATCTCTTTCACTACAAAAAGATAGGAAGTTGTGGAGAGCTATGAAGGGACAGGGCATATAAAATTACCTTCAACCATTAGTGGATGGTAAATACAAATTTTTAAACCATATTACATCCATTTGCTTCTGCTTTTCCTACATCTCTTTTGCTGAATAACAACATGTGAGCATTCATACATTTTTAGTGGCATAACAAGCTAAAATATTCAGTTAATTACAATAGAAATTCAACTTTTCTTTCTTAAAATGGTCAGTTAAGAAATTTACTAAATAAAATATTAATTCACCTACAAAAGAATATATGAAAAATTTCATTTAAAAAGTGTTTCCTATTCTTGAATTTTTAATTACAAATCTCCAAAATATACTTGGTATGAATGTGTATGATAGACAATGTTTTTTTTTTTTTTTAATCATTTCACTCCAAGCAAGGCAATAAAGCCACTAAGACACAAGCAGTTACTGAGTGTTAGAGAAATATGAGAAAAAGAAAATATTATTAAGAAGAGAAAACAATAAAAGAAAAGGAATTAAGAAGACAAGATAACGATGACATTTAAACTTTTGAAGATCAAAGTTGACTGGAAAGCAAGAAGCTGAAAGTCAGTTCCACAAGTGAGAAGTGCACGATAAGAAACTCTTAGCATAAAACTAACGGCTACATTTATCTATTTAAACTGTAAAATGATGAGATTTAGTTACCAATCTCATACTGCCCTTAAATTTGTCAAGTCTAGGTACCAAAGAGGAAAATTCATGAGTACAATTTCCATGGAAATATTTATAGAAAAGGCACAGGGAACCACCTTTTTCTGTGCACTGGTTAACAAGCAGATTTTGTCGATCATTCATTTGTGTAGTAAATTCAGCCCTCGTTGGGTAGCCAACAATAAGTTGATTGTTTAACAGTCATTTAACTTGATAATGGAGCCCACCCATATAGGGAAAACCCGCATAAATAGCGAAAAATGGCAATTTTTACTGGTTTCTTTCTTATTTTTCATTGATCTTTCAACCAATTTTCATCAAACTTAACAATTGCTTTATAAATGTATCCTCTTTTACATCCCTGGAAGCACACTGACAAATTGAATTTCAAAAACTCCAAAATAATTGTGGTCTGAAGTGGCTTTTCATGTTGCCTGTTTTTTCACTTCATGTCTTTGGTTGAAATACAGACTACTGTTATATCAGTAACTGCACTAATTCAAAATGTTTTTTAATGAAAGTAATCTAAACATGATACTGTTTTTGCTCCATTCTAATTGAATGCTTTTTTTGATTGACCAGCTGGGTATGGCTGCTAGTACAAATATAAAATTTGCCACTTAGCTCATTGATATTATATTCAACATCTCGACTCTGGAGTTTCGTAGAAAAATTTTGTAATTATTCAGTCTTCTTGTGAGGAGGTTTCAGCACTTGACTGCTGTTTTTCCCAATTTCTGTGATTTTTTATAATCTAATTATCAGCGTATTTGGTAGGACCTGGACTACTGACTTGACCTGTGTGTAGTGCGCATATTGAACATTTGTAAAGCCTTGTGAAATTTTGGATATCTGCTTACTTTTTATGGATGTTTGTAGTATTTGTGATGTCACTATATATGTAACCATGAAATAGAATTCCAGCCTTCCATTTGTCCAGTGGCGATATTTTTTAGCCCAGTTAAAGAATAGTAATTGATACTCTTGTATCAATAATGGTACTTTCATTGGTTGATGATGCCGAAACCCCATTGAATGCAGTGAATGTCATAAAGTGTGTTGACTGATAGTTTGAATGAGACAAGTATTACATCGAGATGTGATTCGATGCAATATTGCCTTTTACTGGGTAGTTACTGGTTAATTGAGAAAAAACTTAAAGCATTTGTCACATCAGGGACAGTGGCCCATCTTTTTAGTTGTAACAAAAAGTCCATTGATAAATGGTGTTGAATCCTGTCAGTATCCCCTGTCTGCCACAGAAACATTACCTCTGTGGCACAATAGGTCCCCTACATTACTGGCTTAGAACATACGTGAAGTGGGCCCTAAATGATTTTATCAGTGACTTAAGTGTTTAGTGTTTTTATGACCAGCAGTAAAATGTATGAAGTAAGGTTTTCAAGGTGACCACACTCTAACCAAAAGGGAAAAAAAATTAAATAGATAAATAAATGAAAACTTTTAAGAATAAGTGCCACTTTTTTAAAAGTTCAAAATTTCTGCTCATAGGCTCATATAAGCAGAGTCCTAGTTGGAGGAGAGAGGAGCCATTTGTTCAATCGGTCAAGTTGGTAGCAGTTGCTTGGTAGAAGTAAGAAGAGGCAAAGGGAGCTAAGTGCCACATATACATATATATATATATATATATATATATATATACCCCCAGAGAGAGTGCTATGTCTGACATGAAACTCGGCCAGTGAATAAATAAGAAAATTATCGAAAATGATTTGTATTTCCATTTTGATCCATGCTCCTAATTTCACCTGTGAATGTATAATGGGACTTCCTTGGTTTTTGTGCGCATCAATAACAAATAAGTCGTAAAATATGTGTTGTGATTTGACTAGGTGGTGAAAAACTGAGAGAAGGTCAGTAGTTGTATGTGCACACACCTTTACATATTATGTTAAACTGTCCTGAGTCCATTTTTACAAAGTGGTAGGGAGGGTGAACCCATTCAATGAATTCCTCTCTCTAATTTTTGGCGTTTCAGTTTATTAATTAAAAAATTCTGATATTTGGTTTGTTCAGGTTTTTGTTAAAGTGGGTTGGACTTGACAAGCTTTCAGTAATTTGTTGTTGTTAATTATTCATATTTTTAATTTGTTGTTGTTAATTACTCATGTTTTTTTTTCTTTTAAAGATGATCATGATTATTACAATGGCGGTCGGCGTAATCGGTCAGTAATTCACATCAGTGAAGAAGAGGCCCAGGAATTTTCCAAAACGGGATCGCATGAAGAAATGACTGTATCCCAACGAATTCTTATCGAATGCACAAGTGAAAAAGACAGAGTTAGTGAATTAAGGCTATCTTCAGTAAGCTAAATCCTTTTGCTTTTTCATACACACACAAACTCCCTCACCAAAAAAAACCCCAAAAAAACAATAATATTACTATTTCTCCAAAATTAATGTCATCTTTACCATAATGACTTCAACATTTTGTCTGATATTTTGAAATAATATAATGTTTTTCAATAATTTTATTGACTACTATCCTCTATTTTTATTACAATGGTTTGGGGCTTACAGCCACATGTAAAAACACCAGTTCCCATATGATAACTGAAGTTAAGCAATGCCAAGCTTGGCCAGTATCTAGATGGGTGATCACTTGGAAATACCAGGTGCTATAAACTCAGGTCTGCGTGTGGTGTAATGGATAATGATTCAGAAGTGTTAATTGGAGAGCTGAGTTCCAATTCCAGTTGGGTTCGTTATATTCTCTTATGTGTAAATACCCTTGGAGAAGGTATGAACTCAGCACTTCTCCCCACTGCTATGGGTTAATTAATAAAACTTGTATCACTTAAAGCATTATTATCTCAAAAAAATAATGAAATTGTGTACAAAAGTTTGGCATTAATCAACCCATAGATGTTGATATGCAGCTAAACAGAAACAACCAACAAACCAACAAACAATGATGAGGTTTGTTAATTCTCTGTTTCTAGTGGACATGACATCTAGAAAATAGTTTTAAGTAATTTTATTTTCTCTATTACTATTATCCTTAGTTTTAAATAAAGATGATCAGCTTATTGTCACATCACATTGAAACACTGTTTCCCATACGATTACCAAAGTTAAGCAACTTTGAGCCTGGTCAGTAGCTAGATGGGTGACTGCTTGGGAATACGAAGTGCTGTAAACTTGGACGTGCAAGTGATGTAATGGATAATGATACAGAATTGTTAATTGGAGAATCAAGTTCCCATATAAGTCTGATTCATTATATTCACTTAGGTGCAAATACCTTTGAGAAAGGTATGAATCCACCACTTCTCCCCCCCAGCTATGGGTTAATTAGTAAGATTTGTATCACTAAATCATTATTATCACCAAAAAAATTCTTATAATCTAAAAATATTTTCTGGTTTTAAATAACATGAAAACGGTTGATAAGCCATAGAAAACAATCAATCAGTCCAATAAAGATGATCATAAGGCAATGAAAAATTATAAGACTGCTTAAGACCAGTGTTATGTTAACCTGTTGAAAACTGGAGAATAGACCAGATGAAACATGAGAATAATTTCTTGGCTAAATTTTGTTAGACAGGGTTTTTTTTTATCATGGTATGTAGTTTTCTTTGGACTTTCCTTGTCTTTGTCTTTGTTTTTTTTTTTTTCCTCCAATATTTCAACAATGTACTTTCTGAACTTCTGAGGGACTTTTTGTTCTAGAATGTTGATTTCTACTTGGAACACAACAGACAACCAAGGAATGCTAGAGAGTACATAGTTGATGTAAAAAAAAAAAAAAAAAATAAAGACAAGTTCAAAGAAAATCATATACATTGAAGTGCCAAAAGTCATTGGATAGCAGTATGTAAAGGTAATGGTTGTTGGTGTGAACATACCTTATGTTATAGAAATGCCCAAACCTATATAAGGAGTGCTTTGACATCTGATAAGGAAGTGTTCACACTGACTAAGCTGCTCATGACAAAGGGACATGAATTATCAAACAAGTTATGATAGTATCAAATGAATGAGACATTCTATTACTGAAATTATGGGGACATCTGACATCCCTTGATTTATTTTATTATGTGTGTACTTGATGGGAAGCATTACTGGCCATCTTGGACAATGTAGTGGCTAACCACAGGTCTTTAATGATCATGTCCAAATTGTCTTCTGTAAGAAAGTGATACTGGCTCATTTCATATCCACATTTAGCAAAGTTTAATCTATGTACCTGCAAAAAAAAAGTCAGTTTTTCTCTTGACACCATTATTAATGTATACTTCCTTAACTCCCTTGGTAATGTTTATTGTTTTAAGCTATGCTTGGAATTTTAATAACATTAAAAATGTTATACACTATTTAGTTGCTAGATTGTTTTTAAGATTAATTTTATACAGGATGTCCATAAAGTTCGTGTGCACTTTAAAAAATTATAACTTTATTTGTATTTGCGATAGAAATAATCTGTAAAAAATGTTATAAAGTTTAATGTACTTAGTTTTAAGTATAGCTACAATAACTAATGTGATTTCAGGCATTACTCTAAATCAGTTGGCAAATGTTTTCTGTGAACTACAAAATTGTATTACCCTTTGTATTGCTAATGATGGAGGACATGTGGAAACTTAAATAAAATTTCAATAAACCTTAAAAAATATAGATTTACTTCTTTCTAATCCTTTTTACAAATTATTTCTATCGCAAATACAAATAAAGTTATAAATTTTTTAAAGTGCACACGAACTTTATGGACATCCTGTATTTGCATGATTATAAAAATATGTGAACCAACTACATTATTTACCATTTTATAAATAAAAAACTATGAAAACAAATTTTTATACATAAATTTCTAAAAATGTACGTTAGCTCTTAAAGAAAAAAAATTAAAGAAGCATATAAATTTTACAGGTATTATACATTTTCTTCTCAGAATATTTTAGTGATCAGATTATTTCTTGTTTTTAATTTTCCAATTTTTTTATAATCGTGCTTTAGGATCAAAGATGTCTAATCAATCCAAGGCCTGAAACTCCAGAAATTGTATGTTAAACCAATTCTTTCACTTTTTTAAAAACTTTTTTAAAAACTTTTTTAAATTGTTGCTAATTTTTCTAAAAATGTGGATGAAGCAAGCCTAGAAAATCTGCAGACAGATTTATCTGTTGACAGCCGAATGCTGACTGCTGAAGAAATTTTAAATGAAAAATATGCACTAAGCATCTAGACCAAAGCTTGCAAATTGTCCGTCTATATCTCTGAGATGAGGTATTATGATTACTTGCATTATTTACATTATTCGAACTGTTATCCTCATCTTCATTTCCATATTCACAACGTTTCAGCTGTTGTATGCTTTGGCCATCTTCAGGTGATTGGAATTTCGAACTGAACCCTTTATTTTGTCTACCGGGGTAGATTGTTCTAGTTCCACGTGCCATGCCTCTTCTGGATGTCTCAGTTATTTCCCTTTAACTCTTGGTTCACCAATGCTGTGGCCTGGTATTGAATTCATAACTCTTTGGGTCTAGTCACTGGATAAAGACATTGGTTAGATCCAGTGATTAGACCTAAAGAGTTGTGAGTTCAATATCAAGCCACAGCAATGGTGAACTTGGAGAGTTCAGTTAAAGTGAATTAACTAAGACATCCAGAAGAGGCATTGCACGTGGAACAAGAACAATCTACTCTGGTGGATGAAATGAAGGGTTCAGTTCGAAATTCCAGACAAATGAAGAAGGCCAGAGTGTACAACAGCCAAAACGTTGTGAATATGGCAATAAAGATGAGGATAACAGTCCGAATAATGTAAATAATGCAACTAGCAAATTGAGTACTTTTGAATGGTTGCCTAAATATCAGCTAATTGCCAATCACTTTGAATGCCCAAAATGCAAATGTTGCTGTGGACTGAACAGAAGGATAATGTTCAATCTTGCCTAAAATCTAAAATGAAAAAAATGTTTGGTTCAGAGGAGGAGATGCAAAGCTTATTTTAATGAATTTATGTGGTGAAAGCAAATGAAAGAAATTTATTTCTTTATAAAAGAATAAACATTGCATTGTACTTTATTCACATACTTTTATAATCTTGTAAATATAAAACTATTCTTGTAAATAAACAATCTAATAAATAAATAGAATTTAATATTTTTATTGCTAATAATATTTTTATTGTGAATAAAGAAAATGTATAAATTCACTTTCATATGTTTTGATTTTATTAAAATTTTAAACAGCTTTTTAAAACAATAAACATTGCTGAGGCAGTCAAGGATATATGTAGTAGTAGTAGTAGTAGCAGTGTCAAGAAAACACTTGACCTATTGACAGACCTTTTTTTGTGGGTAAAAAGTTTAAAATTTTCACCACATTCAATGCAGGAAGTACCAGATGCATATCAGGTCAGTTCAGCACTCTATAATTTCCCTGGGATATGGGAGCAGAAGACCCACCTGGTTGCTCCTGTTAGTCCTTGATATATCATCTTACAACAGTACATGACATTATTAATTGGACTACAGAAGACAATGTGTGTTGGGTGTCTCATGGTTTCAGTTGCTTCAGACTTATTCAGTTTGGGTGTGGCACAGATCATGGGAACAGGAACCCTTGTCAGCATGCAGGTTGGTGGCAGTTTCAAAATGATGTAGTGTATATTCACATGATGTGGGTGGTGTTCACTGCTTTGTGACCATTTGCACCTGTTCATGGACTCCATGTACCTCCCAACAATAATGGATTATTCTAGATGGATAACGCACTGTGTCATCTGACCCAAGCTGTTCAGAATTTTTTCCTAATATGAGGCCAATTGAGGATTCATAGGAGATGGACGAGCAGTTTATTCACACACAAGATTTTGTACCTACAAGTATCAGGAAGCTGTGGAGAACTATGAAGATGTTGTGGCTCAACATCTCTCTTGGGTTCTTCTAACAACCTGTGAAATTGATGTCATGTTGAATTGCTGTACTTTGTTGAACCAGAGTCCCACACATACTAGACAATTACTTCATGACTTTTGGTACATCACTTTATAATAAGGATATTTTTTTTAGGAAAATCTATGACAAAGTGGAAAAAAATTTTCAAGTTACATGTTTCATCCTTTGCGACTTCATTAGACTAAAGTGATGTTTACGTTGATGTAATTACACATGCACATGAAGGAGAGGGACATTGAAAATTTAAATTTTTAATTTTTTTTGTTTAATTTTTTTTTTTTTAATCCCATGGCCATAGAGTCGTAGAGGCACCATGTCTACTGCAGCCACAGTAGAAGTGGTGTTTCTTGGGTAAGATAGCCTGATAGAGCCCAAGCCTCTCCAGGCTGGTTTTGAATTCAGTGTTTTTCCTTCTCTTAAACTGGTTTCCCCCCAAGGCTATAGAACCCAGTCTCTCCTGGGGGGAGAAGAACAGGATTCATACCTTTCCCAGGGGTATTAGCATGTAAGTGAATGTAATGGACCCGACTGGAATTTGAACTCGGCTCTCTAATTCCTCAATCTGTGCTGATATCCATTACTCCACCGTGACCCTGAATTTTTTGGGTATATAGTCTAATAAGGATATGTTATATAATGTAATTAAATGAAATGTCTTTGCATTTGTTTTGGGTTATTTAATTCAATAAAAAAAATTCAAATGGAAACACCTGAAACCTGGACAGAAAAGATAAATAGTATTTTTCTTTTTTACAGCATCAATTACCTGATTTTACTCCGGAGAAGATTGTAGAGAAAGATGACTATCCTAAACATCGCCACGAGTGTAGTAAGTGCCCCAAAAGCTTCAAAAAGCCCAGTGACTTGGTACGGCATATTCGTATTCACACAGGAGAAAAACCATTCAAATGTAATATCTGTTCAAAGTCATTTACGGTGAAATCAACATTAGATAGTCATATGAAGACACATGGACCTGGTAAGTTCCTTTTCCCTCAGCAAATTTAGGCAGCTTTTTAGATCATGTAAAGTGCTTTTGCTCAACAAATTTAGGGAATCTGAATGATTAGAGATATTTTTAGATACTGTCAGTTCCTTTTTACATTGCTCAACAAATTTTTCTATTTTTGTTTTCATTTTTTTTGTTATCTGTTACATTTTATCTTATCAAATATATCTGTTCTGTATTTTCTTCTTTCTTGAATATTTCCTCTTTATTTCTTTTACTTTTTTATACATTCATTCAGAGATCTTTATTGATTATAAATTTTTAATCTTTTAATGATATATGTTGTCATTTCATCATTATTCTTACATGTTGCTATTGTCATCTTTGTCTCAATGTTTTTCCTTTGCATTTTATTTGAAATTGTTATCTGTTAATTTATTGACAACTTTCTTTTAATTGTAATAAATCATTATTTTCTTTCTGAATTCCTGTTAGAATAATGTCCTTATTTTTTTTTTGTTATTATCACAAGGTTTTGGCCATTGTGCTGCTAGTGTTCTAGTGGCTTTATTGCCTTGTTTGAGGTGAAATGATTTAAAAAAAAACAACACCCCAAACTCCCTCAGATTCAGTGGAAACAGAGTTGGTTATAAGTGAGTAGTACTAAAAAGCAAGGCAAGATAGCCATAGATATGGGCTGTGGAACTGGTACAATTTACCCCCACCTGATTAAATAAAGAGTTCAGTTTGAAATTCCCTGTAGGTTACTTTGATTGACAGACGCCTGAGGAATACCAGAGGCGGCAATGACTGAAATGTTTGTGATAATAACAACAAAGATGAGGACATTAATTTGACTGTAAATAATGTAAATAAATCATTTCTTTTTATCATTCAAGTTTTCTTTATTTGATAATCACATTTAGTTAAAATCTAATCTCTCTTTGATAACAGCAAATTGCTTTTTACTTTTGTCCATTATTAGTTTGACTTTTTAGTAATGACTGTTTTAATTGATATTTACTTCAATAATGGCTTTGGCAACTTTTACTCTGTATCAAGTCACTTCCTGTTTATAGAATTTATATTGAAAATCATTTGCAAATCCTATTTATTACTAAGCTTAAAGTATTGTTATTGACATGCCACTATGAGTGAAGACAAGTCAAGGATTTTCTCTTTATTTTTATTATTTTTTACATTTTGAAAAAAAAAAGAAAAGAAACAACTTTGTAATTAGTAGTTAATAGCCCTGAAGTTATCTCCTTTGGATAGACATTTTTTTTTTTTTGTCAATTTATACATAAAGTAAAAATTAACAGAAACTGATGATCTGATTGGAATGGAATTTGCTTTATTCAAGATAAGGCAGTTTAATGGTATTGTGCTTATAAAAATTGTACTACGATATGTCATTTTTGCTGTATTATGGTAACAAACACAAATATGCGTAAATTGAAGCATTATTATAGAGATTAATAGCTTTAAAAAGTTTATAATTAAATTATTTCTGTAAAGTCCTGAGTATTTCTGAGATTTCATTTACACAAGAAATTATACAAATTTTTCCTTTCAAAATTTGATCTCCTGTTGTTGATTATTAAGATATCAGTTTGAAAACATTTTCGCAAAGTTTAACAAAAACAGAAATACAGTGTGTCAAAAAGATGTTTTTCTCTTGATACCACTATTATAATATACTGCCTCTTTGTATGCATGTTTGCTAAACTTTGAAAAATTATTCTTATAAGTAAACAATTTAATAAATAAATAGTGTTTAATGGTTTTGTTGTCAATACACAAGAAAAAAAAATGATTAAAATCACATAGTCCCCACCTATTTTAGGGGATTTATGTGGCAAGAGCAAATGAAAGAAATGTTCAGAAAATACATTTTTTTAAAAAATTTATTATTACATTTATTCATTGTTATGTGTTTATTTAAAATTTTTTGTTCTTTTTTGTAATGAGATTGGCAAATAGGATTTTACCTATTTGAATATGTTGGTTATAGGATAAATCAAGTATAGAGTAAAGAGTCAGACAGGAGGAGTTGACTACAATACTTCAGACATTTTTATAAATTTATGAATGCAAAAGTTCTTTTCATAGATATTTCTTTATAATATGGTAAATGGAAATATTATGTTGGATTAGGTACACATAAACTTGTAAATATAAAAATAATTCTTGGAAATAAATAATCTAATAAATAGTTTTTAACATTTTTGTTGTCAGTTCTCAAGAAAAAATAGTATAAATCCAGTTTCATATTTTTAAGTCTTATTAAATTTCTAAAAATAGTTTTTAAAAAAAAATAAAAATTACTGATGGAGTATATAGTAATAGCTGCATCAAGAGAAAAACCTTACTTTTGATACACCATTTGTTTTTTTCTGGTGTGTTTGTTAAACTTTGCCAAGGTTTTTTATCTTTAAACATTAGGGAATTGATTCCAACTAATATTTAGAATTACCTGAACCTTTTAGCAATTGAATTAAAATTAATTTTTGGCACAGAATCAAATTTAAAACTAATAATATTTATTTACATTCCTTTTCTTTCTGTGAAGTAAATAGAAATTGCCACTTCTGTTTTTATTTTTTGGTTCTTCAATAAAAAACTTATCTGTCTTCTCATTATCACAGGGGAGAAGAAATTCAGATGTCATATATGCACATTGCCATTTTCAACAAAGGGAAGCCTGAAAGTGCACATGCGATTGCACACAGGTGCCAAACCATTTAAGTGCCCACATTGTGAACAACGCTTTCGCACATCAGGTCATCGGAAGAGCCACATTGCTTCTCATTTCAAACCAGACACACCAAAGAAGCGAAAGACCACTAAGGTTGCATCAATGGACACTGCAGCCTTATTGGTAACTATGGCAGTTGATAATCAGCAGCAACAGCAGCAACCACCACCACAACAGCAGCAGCAGCATCAGCCACAATCACAACACCAAGTAATGACATCAATACAAAATCCTGTTGAAATGACTCAAGGTCTGGAGTCATCAAGTCCATTACCAAGTCAGATGGTCAGTATTGAACCAACCATGATATCAAACCAGGCAAGCTTAGTACCAGTGTCTTTGACTGTTTCAGGCAGTGAACATTTGGTTGGGAATGGGATAGTTGGAAGTACAACTGCTAATGGAGCAACCCCAGTGTCTGGAAGTAGTGGAGTGGCTGTTGCAAATGGTGGCAGTCAGTTATCAGAGAGTGCTCTGGCTGCCCATGTTCTCCAAGGTCTTGAAGGTATCCAACTTCAGTTGCCTGGAAATCTCAATCAAAGTATACAGATAATGGGCCTTGATACGAACCTCATGTCGCAGACAATACACATTGACGACTCTTTGTTACAACAGCTGCAGCAGGGTAGCTTGAACTTCACTTTGGCACCCAACTTTGTTAGTAGCACCCCAACACAAATCCAGCTGCAGCCGCAGAGTCAGACTGTGATGGCCCCCACCAGCCAGGAACTTCCTGCTGCTATCACAACTGGAACAACTACAGCACAGTTCATGCCAAACACAATTCAGATCCATCCTGTGACCATGCAGGACCCAAACATTGTGATGCAACCATTGTCTACCATTACAATGGCTCAGAACCAAGGGGTTGCTGACCAAACACAACAGGCTCTTCATGCAGCTGTAGTGATGAACAGTCAAGAGACTGGACTTGGTCCTCAAGGCAGTTTCATAGTCACTGAATCGGGAGATACACAGGTAAGATATTGATATATATATATATAAATGAGAATGAATTGAATATAAATTTTGCTGTTTGTAACATTAATTTAAAAGAGGGCTCAATACAACAGTAGTGCAAAATTATTTATTATAGGATATTACATCAAAGCATGTGAATAATGCTACACAAATGCAATCATGTTTCGATGTGTTTAAATTTATAGAAATTTAAAACTGCATACAACCTCTTTTCACATGAATATACATACATACATACATATATATATATATATATATATATATATATATATATATATATATATATATATATATATAGGATTGGTATAGATGGAATAAAATTACAATAGCCAAAACCACTATCTTTTAAAAAATTATAACATAAACATGTTATAACATCACTACAAAAATAGCCATTTTGTTTCAACATGTCTGGTGTCTTGTCAAGTGATGCTGTTGATTGCAAAATAAAGAGTTTTAAAAAGTTCACCCCCCCCTAGCAGGGGGGGGCATTATTACATAAGCTATGATAACCAATCAAAATACAAGTATATTATAATTCAAATAACTTGACAATGGACTCTGGATACAATTTATTCATGCTTTAATATTAGATTAGATTGGAAATTAGCATAACTAATTAACTTTTAATTTGTCTTATCATTTATAAATCTTCTTCTCTTGTTCACTAAATCTGCAGCCAAAACCCTATCAATGTAACTAATTTGTAGCAATAATGGATACCTCTTACATCAGCACCAAATCGGAAGAACTTAATATATAGCTAAGAACAATAAATGAAAATATAAGTATAGTTTTTGCGTTTATTCTTTGAATAATTTTGCAATATTCTAAACTTAATGCGTGGTAATATTTAAAATTTAATATTCGTAATTTTTATTCTTTAACTGCATGATAAATTAAAAATTAATTAGTTATACTGATTTCCAATTTAATATTACTATTAAAGTATTAATAAATTGTATCTAGGGTCCATTGTCAAGTTAATTGAATTATCATATACTTCAACATCAGCACATAGCAACTGCAAAAAATTTACAAACACATGAATTATTGTTCCAGTAACGCAACACCCATGCATACTTAATGCCGCCTTTTTATTTCCTTCTCTCTTCCAGTACTCCCCCCTCTCCTTGCACATGCACTATCTCCATTATTTTTATTACCTCATATGCATACATTATTTCTCAGTTTAAACCAAATAATAGAAACTAAGAATTAATGTCATTTTATTTTTAGAGAATAAACTTTGTTTATACAGTTGTTTATAGCAGGTGTCAGCAACCTTTTGCTATGTGCCGACTTAGGGTTTTAAAAACATTCAGTGTGCCAATAGCATACAAATTTTTATACAAGTCAAGGTCAATATACCTGTTCTACAATAGATTTTATATAATAATATATAGTATATAAAATTGAAACCGCTAAATATCTTCTTTGCGTTGTAGAAGTTATTGCTTTGGACTTTGTGATGTCATTTGCAGCTGACTCCTGGTTTATAGTATTATTTTACTATTACACCCATCTCATCCCTGACTATTATTTTATGCTCTTTAAGTAATCAACTTTGCATATGATGGTGAAGTAAGATCAGAATTGCATTAAGTCAATAAAAGAGATGTGGGTGTAATACTAAAAATTTACCTTGTTTATAAACACAAAAAAAAAATTTTATTTATAAGAAAAACAAAATCTTTTGAGAAGTGTTTTCAAATAAGTATATAATTTAATTGCAATGATTAATCACAAATTGATGAGAATTACTTTGTTATTAATTCCTGTGACAACCTTATAGATTTCTGTGGATGCTGTTGGTGATGTGCAAGTTGATGTTTCATCAAACATGGTTACTGAACCAGATAATCTTGAGACTGTTCATGATGCAGCAGCTGCAGCAGCTATGATGGAAAATGAAGCAGTTGACACAATGGATGGAAATACAAGTGTAACTGATGAGAGCCTTGGAACCATTGACCAGAAAGGAAATCATGTATGCCATGTAAGTTGAAACCACAAAAACTATTCTCTTTCCAATAAAATGGCAAGCATAATGCCACAGAATAAATGAGAATTAGTCTTTTTATAAAAAGAAAAAATAACAAATGTTGACTGAAAGATTTTTGATATTAATCACTGTTTGTCATTTTTTTTTTTAAGGAAATCAGTAGGTGATTTAGTTTTTAATTTGCTATCATTATTAAATGCAATAAATGAATTTAACTTCTTGCATTTAAAAGGCAAGTTGTGCAAATCAACTTTTATGGCTTTGTATAATTCTATTAAATTTTAAATTAACCATTTTCTTTAGATCTCAAAAAATGAATTAAGTTATACATAAAATAATTTTTCAGTATTACTGACATTATCTGAATGAGGTTGAATTATGACTGAGTATGCAAACAAGGAGGAGGCTTATACTTAACACCGGGAAGAGGCAGCCTGAAGTTTCTGGGACATGGGTCAAATAGAGGGAAAGAGAGACAAGGGAAAACAACGCATGACATACCTCTTGGGCTTAAGCAAGTGGATGATAGAACATGAACTGGGGGGGAGGAAACAGACGGAAGGAGCTTGTTGAGAGCTGCAAGGGGTAGAGGGAGGTGGTGAGCCATGATTGCCTACGTCCTGAAAGGACATGTCACATAAAAAAAAACTGAGATCAATCCTCACTAGGTCCTCCATACTTTCAGCCTAGTGCCGCATCTAAACTATGTATAGTAAATTGCTATATGGATGAGAGGTTGGAAATATGAATAAAAGTTTCAATCTTTGAATTTTAATATTTTCCTCTTTAAATTCATTTTAAAATTAAACTTATTTGTAGAGGAAATTGATTACTATAGACAACAATGTTACTGTAATTATTTTAAATACAATTTTTTTTTGGTGTACCAATTGTGAGCATGTATTGATAATCTGTAGTGAATTCCAACAAAAATATGCCAAGTACTACAGAGCGGATAATTTAAAGGTAATGTTTGGAAATAATAAACCAATTGTGAGCATTTTGTATAGAAAATTGGCTTTTATAATAGAATATATATTTATGAAAGCCATACAATCTATTTTTACGAAAATTGTTTTTTTTATAGTAGAATATATATTTATGAAAGTCATACAATCTATTTTTATAAAAATTGGGTTTTATAATAGAATATATATTTATGAAAGTCATTCAATCTATTTTTTATGAAAATTGCCTTTTATAATAGAATATATATTTATGAAAGTCATACAATCTATTTTTATGAAAATTGCTTTCTATTTTTACGAAAATTGCCTTTTATAATAGAATATATATTTATGAAAGTCATACAATCTATTTTTATGAAAATTGGCTTTTATAATAGAATATATATTTATGAAAGTCATACAATCTATTTTTTATGAAAATTGGCCTTTATAATAGAATATATATTTATGAAAGTCATTCAATCTGTTTTTAAGAAAAAAGTTTATTGAAATTTACCTTTATACAATTTGTATCTGGAAATATTATTGTGATATAATTTATATTTATCCCCAAAATTGTTATTCACAAAAAAAAGAAATTATTCTTATATTATTAAAAAATATTTTTTGGCTTTAAATAACCGACAAAGCCATAGAAGACACAAATTAATTAATCTTTGGATGTGCACCCACTTCAGTCTTATTAGTGAATAGGAATTCAAAATACTTTTGATATCAAAATATATCTGTTCTGCTTTTAATAATTTTATCCAACTTACAATAAGATTTTTATTTTTGTTATTGATATTGCATTTTCCAAAGATCAGACTTCTTTAAACAGAAAAGAAGATGATACAATCCCTGTGTACTTCATTATAATATGAACATGTGCTTTCGTATTACTAAGACAATTGTTTATTGCTTTAAATTTTTGTCATTTCTTCTTTGTTCTGCCACCATATGCTTTTTTTTTTAATACAAGACATCTACTCTGATTTTTCATTTATTGTACTTAAAAATCAGAGTAGATGTCTTGTATTAAAAAAAAGGAGATGTGGAGATGTAAAAGTGTCTGGTGAGACATATGGAAGGAGAGGGATGATGAGTAGTGACTTACAAGGTTGACAGTGTTGGCAAACTAGTAGAATCTGATGTCTTTGGAGATAGAAGGTCACATTTTGACAAGCACATGAACTCAGGCGAAGATGCCATCCAATTGCCGAATATTCCTTTGATAGGCTTTTATGTCCTTTTTAAGGCTCAGATTGGCTCCAGTTTTCATTTTGTTTCTTTAGGCGAGAGTGGATGCTATTGGGTGGAAATTCTGGATTGTATTGCTTTATTTCTTTGAGTGTGTACGTAAAAATAGAAGGTATGTACAGAGCTTTTTGCAGTTGATGGATTTATAGTTGAGTTTTGAATATTGGGAACGTTCACATCTTGCTAGTGGTGCAAATTAGTGTAGCGTGAACCAGAAAAACATTTAATTTTGGAAAGAATGTAACAATCTAAAATATAATTTTAATTTTTCATTTCTTCCTGTAACTATAACGAAAAAACAAAAACATTCTTTACCAAATTGTAATTTTTTTAATCAAACTTTTTTAATTTTTGTTGCAGCTTTGCACAAAGACATTTAAAAGACCCAGTAATCTAAAAGAACATATAACCAACGTTCATGAAAATGACTCTCCAAATCAGAAGAAGTTAAAGCGAACACCCCATGTTTGTACAATATGCAACAAAGCTTTTCAAAAACCGAGTCAACTGGAACGACATATCCGCATTCACACTGGTATGTAATGCTTTTTTTAAGCCATACTAAACAAAGCAATAATCTAAAAGTTACCAGTGTAGCAGGAAAAGTTATTGGTTAACCCATGTTTTATGCATACATATATAGGAATGTTTCTTTTAAAAAAATATATATACCTAACCTGCAACTGCAGTTTCAACTTTCATATATTCAGTCTGGGCTGATTATTTTTAAATTTCATGTCACTTTGTATTTTAATAAAAATGAAAATTAAATCAAACCAGCCTGAAGAGCCCAAAAAGTGGAACTGTAGTAGCTGGTGAGATATTTATATTTTTTTAAGAGAAACATTCTTAGGATTGCTCTACAGTTTATGTATTGATCACTTTTATAAATTGGCTAGAACTGGTCAATTTCTGAGTAGGTTTTACTCTGTAATTGATTGATTGTGAATGAAGATTATATATCTATATCTATCTATCTATCTATATCTATGTATGTATATATATATATATATATATATATATAGTCAAATTTCTTCATGTTGTGTTAGAAACCTACCACCCCTCTTGAAGATGAACTTGTCTGCATCTGTGAACAAAGACTTTAAATAGTGGCATGTCAGTTGACATGGAAAGAAGACAGGTAGACAGAGAAGTTCTTAGCTGAGCTAGTTATTGACTACTCAGGCGATTTCTGTACCTTTTTACCAACCTATTAAAACCCTTTTTATTGTTACGTGTTATTTGGTGTGTGTCTCTACTAACCCCAAATCAACATCATAACACTTCAAAAGCCACTTTTTGTCTATTTTATTTAACAACCAAAACCAGACAATGTTAAAAGAGTGAGTAAGTATGAAAAATAACTAAAAATAAATATTGAGATGAGTTCTTTCTATAATTTATGAAATCTTGTTCAATTTTCAGGTGAGCGTCCATTTAAATGTCCCAAGTGTACAAAACGGTTTAACCAAAAGAATGCTCTTCAAATTCACCTGAAACAACACAGTGGAGAGAAGCCCTACAAATGCATCTACTGTGAGCTTGCATTTATTCAGAAAGGAAACCTGAAGACACATATCAAAAGGGCCCATCATGTTGACATGGTCCAATCCATGAACTTGCCTCCTACCATTGTACCTTCAGTCACTCTTAGTACAGATACTGTCAGCAGTAACAACACTGCTGTGGTTACAACTGCTTCAACCACTGACCCTGCAGGTGGCAGCAGCCCAAAAGAAAGTGGTCTGGATTTTGCAGATTTCTTTTTGGGAAACTCGCCGGGGGAATGAAAATTTAAAATTGCATGTTGAGTTGAAACTGAACCACACTTACTGGGTGAGAAGATTTCAGTTGCATTTCACAGCGGAAAAATGAATTAAAACAGAAAAAAAATGTTTTGTTATTTATTGAATTTGGGAGAAAGAGTTGGGAGAATTGGATTTTAGGCAAAATGGGAAATCAACAAGAATAAGGATAAAGTATTTTAAGGAAATGGAAATTTCTTCTAAGGATTGTACATTGTTTTGATTCTAAAGGAAAAACAAAGTCCACAATTTAACCAGCAAGTCTCCAATCACCAAAAATGATTGCATGGAACTTATATATATATATATATATATATATATATATATTAGCGGAAACCTGTATTTGAGGCAGAATGCACTGTTTTCTTTTGTTTTTTTTCTTAAACATTGTTTATTTCATCTACTAGACTGCGCATTCGAGAAAATTTAGTAAAGAAAGTGTATTCTCCAGCATGATTTGAACCCATGTTCCCCTTTGTATCCACTAAAAAACTTGTTTGAAGTAATAAAAATATGTCAGATTAAAAATTAAAAAAAATCCATTATATATATATATATATATATATATATATATATATATAATGGATTTTTAAAAATTTTTTAGAGAAATATTCTTATTTCTAAAAACATTATATTTAGTTGTTATCTATTCTTGAGTAGGCATCTTTTTTTCAATAATGAAATTATTACTGACCAGTCTAGAAATTGAAAGTCTTACATTTCTCTTTGATTACTAAAACTATGATATATAAAACTTTTGATCTCTATTCTTGTCTACATTAATTTCACTGTTTTTAAAAAACAAACTGTCTTCTCAAAACAATGTTTATAGTAATAAGAAATAATGTTGAATTAAAAAAGAGTTTATGCATTTATATATATATATATATATATATATATATATATATATATATATGTAATGTGAACTACATTTTAGATTTATTGTAGATGTTTTAATATAAATGTTCTTGGGACATTGAGGATGGTTGTATTTACTATCGTAATAAATGACTTCATGGGATTCCTTAGCTGACCAGCAAATATAATGGATTTTTTTCATTAGTCCTCACTAAAAGCTAGCATTCATGATTTTAATGTATGGAAGCCTAAAAAAAAGAAAAGAAAGTTGCATTTTCTTTTCAAAAGACTAAAAATGACAGATCTTTTTCAGCAGTCCCCAGTATTAAAATGAAAACCCTGGTTAAGTAGGTTAACTAATGAAATAAACATATCAATTCCAACTGATTATGAAAATTTGGCTCCAGTGGTGACTAATGAAAAAGGCTTAAAATACTGTACACCCTAATTTTTTTTATTTTAAACTTTTGGCAACATTATCTTCTTTGGGAAAAGCTACAAATATCTAATGATCAGAGCAAAAATAAAAAATATATAAGAATGACGGTTAGGGAGTAAGGCTGAACTGTTTTGGATCTCCAAGATGAATTGTTAAAATTTGACTCCAAACTAACACCATAAATTTTGTTTCTAGCTAGCGATAAAAATATGCAACTAGTTCTTTATTTCCTTTCTCGGCTTCCATACTTTAAAATTATGATTGTTAGCTTTTTTGAAAAAATTCCTGCTCTACATTCTCTTAAGCATGTGATAATAGAAGTGAATTAACTGGGGAGAAAACACTGAACTAAAATTGGTTATAAAAGACATTTTGTTTCGTTTGATAAATATTTAGTTTAAAAATCGAGATAAAATTTGATTTTTAGTCTTAATGTGATAATTGTAATCACTCTCTCCTTTGTAACAGTTTCTTTTTGATTTTGTCTTTCCTGTTTTGATACTTTAACCTGCACAGAAATTGTTTTTCCTAGAACCTTTCTTGTAAATATAAGAGAGTATCAAAAGTATTTTTGTTTAGAGTATGTCTGAGTTCCTGGATGCTTTTTTAAAACTTATGTAATGCTCTAAATATGGTATCTTTTGATGAACTTAGCTCTTCTAAAGTCTTCATATGGAGATGATTGGGTTCTTGTCTACCTTGCATTTAAAAGCATCAGCATTGACAGCTGATGGTTGTCCATTTTGGGGCTTTATTTCAAGTTACCATCTTTACAATGTTTAAACAAGATTTGTTAAGATATTGTTTCATTTTCTTCCATTTTCAGAGTTCTATGAGCAGCTTCAGTGGATTTGAGCTCTATTTTAAAATAATTAACAATTGCCAGAATCACAATACTTTTATCTGTCATTATAACAGCTAAAAACAAAATCTACTGCTGTATAGTAGTGATATTAGTAATAATAATAATAATAGTAATAATAGCAACAACTAGCAATACCTGTGAAAATTTCATGGTTTTGCTACCTGAATTTTTTGATGAATTATAATTCTTAAGTTAATGATTGAAAACCTTCTGGCAAGTTCCATGACTGAAATATCCTTGGAAATTCCCCTATCACATCGTGAAATATTTGAGTTTAACAAATTTGATAAAATATTTCAATAATAACCATAAATATGAATGCAGGTTAAAAAGAAGTCAGAGGGTACAAATGAAAAGTTTAAAAATTGACAAGGTTTTTGATTTCACTGAAGCAGATGTTAAACACATGAAAGAGTTATCTTCTTTCATTTTTTTTCTCACTGAAAACAAACAGTCTCTGATATGATTTACTGTCTTTTTCCTTTTAATCAAAAAGGTATAATCCATTCTTTATAAGTTAATGGCAGGGTGTAACATACATGCTAACTGCAGAACAAAGGAACATGCAGAATTATAAGATGATTATAGTCATAGATAATCTTTATCTGTGTACATGAAATAGAATTTGGATTAAAGGTCTCTATTAAAAACCAAAAACAAAAATACTTTTCATACACTAATATATTTCTTGTATTTGTCTGGAGTGGAGAATTGTCAATTTGAATTGTTGTTAGTGGGAAATCAACATTGATCAAGTAACAAATAATTTCATTCTGGATAGAGATTTTGTTGTTATTTGTACAAAAGTGTAACATTAGTTGAAAGCAAAACTGAAAATACAGAAAGTCTTTCTTGTTTCAATGACTTTGAGAATGCTAACTGACAGATATCATTAGCACTATAAACAATTTTATCAAATAGGAAAAAGTGCTTCCTTCTGTGCTTCTTAATTGAAATTTCCTAATTGTCTTTTTGTTTTAGTATCTAAGTAACTGTAACACTATAAAGCCGTGTTATAAACTAATAGTTAATAACTAAAGCAGTGATGCAAAATAGCATAAAATTATTACTGCAGGAAACAGAACTGGCAGCCTAAATTCAAATTATCACCAAGGCCAATAGAAATGGTGGTTTCTCTCTGCTCAGTATCCATATCGTGACTAAAAATATCTCATTGTTGATATGTCACAATGACTGACTGGGAATATAGAGTGGAAACCACTCTCCCATAACAACTAACCAGATAGTAATAACAGTAAAAAGTTGTTACATCTTTTGCCAACATTGACAAGGGCTAGTCACCTATTAGCAATATTTTAATTCTTAGAATTTATTGACTTGGTAGCTTAAGGAAATTATTATTTCAGGTTAAATTGGTGAATGCAATTCTAAAGACAAGTTTTACCCTAAGTTGTATTTAAAAGCAGCTGATGTCAACTTTGAATGCCATATTTGTTGATTCAAATACAGAAACAATTTTGATTTAAATTAAAATCTGACAAAATGGTATTTTATGTGAATTCTCAGGTTAAATTTTGTATATATTTGATAGTATTTTTCAACAAAACAGTCATGATAATCCACAATTTGTTTTCAGATAAATAGGAGAGAGTATAAATTTGTTTGTTTCAATAAGATAGTGATATTGAAAGTTAACATCAATTGTTTTAATAATAAGAGGTTGTTTTGATGTTAAGTAAAGTTAACCACATGTGAATTATACTAAATAATTGAAAGTTATTTTAAGAATATTAAAGTGGACTGTATTTGTGTGTGTGTATATATATATATATATATATGATGTTTGTTTTTGTTTGGTTGTGCTAGCATGAAGTTACAGCCATTGTGACCAAGAGTTTGAGCATACTGGCTTTATTCAAACTGGTGATCACACCAGATTACGTGTTCTCTATCTTAGAAACTGTAACTAAGGTCTGCTCTGCATAGTTGTAGTATAAACCACAAATTGGCTCTGTGAGTTTTGCAGAAGCACAAATGTATCTGAGCAAGCATCTGCAACAAGGATTAACTAACCCCCATAGTGAGTGTATTTAAAAACATCCCACAGCCGTTGTATATGTGTGTGTATGTTTGTGTGTGTATATGTGCCTTACAAAAATACCTACCTGCAAAAAATAATCTATTAGAAGCTGTTTGAAGATTTGTAAAAATTTAAAGATTTAAGAAAGTAAAAATTTTTTGTCCTTATCTGTTATTTTCCAATACCACTTTGTCTATTTTATCACCTGATAGTCTATACCTCATTTCAAGACATTTGGGAATTTTATAACAGCAATTTGCTATTGCCTACAGTTGATAAACTCATGGTTTCAATGTTAGACACTTTTTAGCAAATCCCAGTTCCAAAGAATTTGTAGACTTCCCATTTGATACTCTTTCATTGAATAATTAAAATTCATTTTTTTCTTTTATTTCTTTTAAATAAATAAGTTTAAATTGTTGAAGCAATCAGTTACTTTTGTATTCAAGTTTTCTTTGGCCAAAAAAAAGATTTTGTTTTTAAAGTGGAGGTTCTTAATTTTAGGAAAGGGATACTGTCTGAATTGGTGTAAGTGTCGGCTGTTTCCTCTTTCATTGTTGATGAGCCAATTTATTTTTATACAAACTATGTTCATTCATTTGTAGAGTTGATTTTATTTTCCACAATTTCCATTTCAAAATTAATCCAGGTTCTTCATATTAACATTTAATAGTTATTGCTTTGAATTCACATTTAATGTTGGTAATTATGATCATAAATGAAAACATGTCTACAACTTTGGTTTTATAAAAAAAATGTTCATTTTCTTCTAATCCAAATAT